TTTTCACATAGGATATGTGATTCAGACCAAGTAAAAAAAAATAAAAATAGAAAGATTGAAAGGAAAAAGATAAAGAGTGGAGGAGAATCACACAGGATTTTTCACGATCTTTTGTGAAACAAAAATGGAAATAGATATGTGGATTTTGATCTATTAACCCCTATAATTATACTATATTTTACAAATGTCTTTTTGTGGTATTAATTATTCTTTAAAACTTTGGTTGATTCACCAAAGCTTTACTTTTGAAGTGGAAGCAAAAATTAGATCATGATCTTTTAAAAAAAATTAGGGGCGACGCTCCCATTCCCCCGCCCTAAGTGTGCAGACATAAAAATGTTTTTCTTGGTCTGCCACTGCTCACCGCCCCCGCTTTCAAGTGGGACTATATATCTCAACAAGTCCCCTCACACGAGAGCCCGTTGGGCTTGAAGAGTGGACAATGCAACAGGCCCAACCTACCTGTGCTAAGAAACACCACAAGAGAAAGTGAGGGGCGGCGAGGCTGTGATACCATGTAAAAAACCAATTCAACCCAAAAACTTAAGCTATTGGTTGAGGCTACATTAATGGTTTTATATATATCAACAGATGTCACTTATAACTATAGGTTTTTTTATTACCGGTTCAATTGTGTGTGTTTATCTATGGCTTAAGATTACAAGCTATGAAGCACCGACACTTCAAAAATATTGACGTGTCGTGACACTTTCCGACACTCCAATATTCGTTGCAAAGACTCAAAAAAGGTTTAAAGGTTTTGTTGCGTCGCATTTTGAGTTCCAACTATTAGATTCGTTAGATTATATGATTACGATTTTATTGAGTTTAATATAAACATTTGGGATATATTATGTTTCTTTGCAAAATTGATAGGTATTATAAGTTTAGCTTTATTTTTTTGTTAAATTATTGAATACTAAATATAATATACACTACATAAATTAAAATTATTATATAATATCAAAACGTGTCCTAACGTGTCGAAATTTAACATTTTTTAGAATTAACGTGTCCGAGTGTCGTATCGTATCCCGTGTCCCGTGTCGGTGTCGATTCAACATAGATTATAAGTGCTCCCAAGACTATTCTTTGCGTTGGGTTTTTAGTATTATATGATGGCTTTAATGTATTGTAGATAAGTTATCTATATATCGTTTTGGGTTAAAAAATTATAATGAGAAATACTATTATAACAATAAAATAAATTATAACTACAAAAATATCTTGATTTCTGTCCTAAGATGACATCGTTTTAGGTTCAATGTAGATAACTTATCTACGTTCACCGCAGAAAAAATCAACCCTTATATAAGAGTGTGTACTGTAACTACTGCTTGCTATTTATAAAAATCTATTTGCGAATATAATTTATCTTTCCTTAATTTTAGAAGTATTTTGAAAAGATTTATTAATAGTCGTAAAAGTTTTTCCTATTTATTTTTATATTTTACCATTTTATGCAATTCATCTTTGGTTTAACACAAATTAAATTAAATTATAGAGTAAAGTAATTTTTAGGTCTTCAATAAATATTACGAGGCCCAATTTAATCCCTTATAAAAAGAATCGACTCGTGATCTCTCTAAAATTCAAAATAGACCCATGTTAGTTATTTTAAGGTACTAACGTGAATTCTTTGAATTTCAAAGGAATCATAATTTTGATTAATTGGATCTATTTTAAATTTTAGAGGGATCATCAACCTTTTTTTTTTCTAAAGAAATAAAATGGGCCTCATAATTTTTGTGGAGGAGAAAAAAAATACTTTACTCTAAATTATAATAAGAGCCTGTTTGGATCCTCTTATTTTTAAGCTAGAAACTACTTATAAGCTAAAGCTAAAAATAAGAGCTTAAAAAAAGAAGTTAAAAGCTGTTTGGTAATTACACAAAAAATTTAGCTTGAAAATTACTTAAAAACACATGTTTCAAGAAAATTATTTCTCTCTTTATCTTTATAATTCTTCATTTAAAAAAAAGCACACAATTCAAGAAAAACATACAAGAGCTTAAAAAAAAGCTCCTCCTAGGAGCTTTTAGTTTTCAGCTTTTTTCTTCATTATATAAAAAAAAAGCTTTTCATTGTAAGAGCTTTTCCCAAAATCTGTTTGGCCAGGCTTATGCTTATAAGTAACTTCTAACTTAAAAATAAGAGGATCCAAATAGGCACTAAGTCTTCTAGGTCAGCCTTCCAATCTTTAAAAGTAAATTAGGGTAGACTTATATTTTAGCCTCCATCTAGATGCAACTCACATTCAAAATATTTTTATTTAGACTCAACTTATTTAAATCAAAGCTCAATTTATTTATATCCATACTCCTACTGTTAGGGGTGATAAACGAGCCAGGGGCCTTTGGCTCGGCTCGTGAAGGCCTGAGCTTACATGTCTAAAATTGATTGTTGGACCCAGGCTTGGACTTGTATAAAAACTCGTTTAATAAAAAGACCTCAGTCTCCAATTCAAAAGCTCGGACTTAGAGCCTCTCAGGCTTGCCTAATATATTATTTATTTTTTTATTTTTTATACTACTTGTGATAGCCCTCTCTCTCTTCTCAATTCATTTCATCCCATTTTATTAATCAAACAGACTTTTTAAATGATTTTTTTTTATATTATACTATTTGGATATACATTTAATTTATGAATATTTATGGAATTACTAGTGCTGTTGATTCTATATTTTGTTTGGATAAATTTTTGTTATATTATTTTTTTTAAACAGGCTAACAGGCTAAACAAGACTTTTATTTTTTGTAAATGAGTCAGGTCACAGACTGATATTATATTCGTAACAGGTAACAAGCTAAGGCTAGTCTGACACATTTAAACACAGGCTCGTCCCATTAAGACCAAGACTCGACTCGGCTCGTTAACACCCCTACCTACTACTGCTGTACTAATTATTTTTGTGAGCTCGTTGATACATAAGAATCTATGATAAGGTAAAAGTACGTCAAAGCCTCAACATAAAAGCCCATGCAATGCAGATTTAAATTCTACAATAATTATTGACTTAAAATAACTTCAACAAAGTCAGGATTAAAACTGTTGAAGTAAGGAAAACAAATTACTCTAAAGTGAATTGTCTATAAAGATCATAAAATAAGAGTCTATTTATCCTTAAATTTTAGTTACATATTTCAAAATAAATCAAAAAATAAATATGATTTTAGTTGAATACTTTATAAATAAATTTACAGTTAATGCAGATAACTTATCTGCATTTATTTTCAAAACGACATCGTTTTAGAATTGAAAGATTAGAAAATTATAATTATAAAGACTATAATAATCCTGAAATAAATTAAAATTAAAAAAATACCATAATTTTCGTCCCAAAATAACATTGTGTTGAATTTACTGTAAATAACTTATCTGCATTAACCGTAGAAAAAGGAATCCATAAATTTACTTTATAAAGGTTTTACCAGTGAAAAAGAGCGTTTCCACATAACAAACCCACTAGACCATGTCTGTGTGATGGGGATGGGTTGAGCTTGTCCTCGCCTCACTGACTTGTGAGTAATCAGTAATGCGTTAAATATAGTTAGCACTGGACCAACCCGCACATTGAATTGCTTGGTTTATACCACGACTCTCTTTGCTAATATCGGTTGTCCCGAATAGGTGGAATTAGGGGTGGAATTGGATTAGACTTTGTCTATTTAAAGATGTTAGATTTGTGCAAATGCTTTAGGTTTGTTCAGTTAGCCTCGTATAATTTCAAATTATAACGTGATCTATATTTGAAAAATAAAAAATTTGGCCTACGCCTGTTATTTTATTTAAGTTTATTATGAATTCAATAATTAAAAAATAATTAAAATGATATTGATTAAACTTAAATTCAATAATTAAAAAGATATTAATTTATTATTTAAAATCATTATAATAATAATTTATTTTTTTATTTAAAATAAATAATATAATATAAGCTCAGTATGTAAAAGAAAGTCTACCAACTACTTTCTAAATAAGTTTTTTTTTAAGTCTAAGCCTATTTTATATAAGAGTAAATATTTCTACATTCATTATAGATAAAATTATCTACAGCTATCCAAAAATTACGTCGTTTGATTAATGAAGGGTATTTTCATAATTTTATTTATTTTTTATCATATATATTTTACTAAAATACTCTTCATTAATTCACATGATATTATATAAACACCATTCATTAATAAAAAGGACATAGTTTTTGAGCATCTAATAACCTTATCTTATCTACAGTTGGCTCCGTAAAAATATTTTTTCTTTTATATATCTGTATGTAATATGACAAATCTGACCACAAACCCTGTTAAGGCGGCTGGCCATTTACAACACCATTGCATATAATATCTTTAAAGCTTGTTTTTAGGATTTTAAAATTTACTAACAGAAGTCCTTAAATTATTTATTAAAGAAATAAAAAAAAATTATTTAAGATATTTGGAAAATCGATAATTAAATTTTCAATAAATTAATGGGACAAGTGCCAAACGTTTGCTCTTAAAAAATAACTATGCAACATGTAATTGTAACTTAATAACAGTTCGAGATTTTCAAATTGCATTTAGAAAATACATTTTTTTTACAATCAAGATAATATGGGATTGAGGGGATATTTTATGATTATTGAAGGGGATAAGTTTGCGTACTTGCATCTCTTTTAAGTTTGCCTAATTCCAAATTAATTATCATTAAAATTAGTTTGAAACTTTGGGTCAACTCACACTTTTTAGATGATCTAGTCAACAAAAACTGGGTGAAAAACCTACTTATTATTTTTTGAAAAAAAAAAGGGAAATAATACTCTTATGCTACATAAGAGTATATCATTTTCCTACACTAATTCGTTTTCCGTGTCAATTAATTTTTTTTTCTTTTTTAATATAAAATATGGGACCCATATTTAACTTCTCTCTACTTTTTTTATCTCCTAAAAAAAAAAAAAAGGTGAGAAATGCATATATGATAGTAGTAGTAAAATATATAGAGTTGGAAGAAGGGAGAAGCAGAGGAGAGAAATTGAATGGCGCTGTTACGTGTGTGCCCAACCATCACTCTTCCTCTCGTTTCTTCAAAACTTTCGTTTAGGACCAAATTTGAAGTTCGATGCTGTAACCTTCAACTGCAAGTGGAACCCAATGACTCACGCAAGGTACTTCTTTAACTATTTTCCATTCATCTTTGCTACCTCATAAACCAAACCAAGGTATCCTTTCATTACATTTTCCCTTCTTAGTTAGGTTTCCTTAACTATTTGAATAATGCCAATTTGACTGATAGCAGTTACAAGTGCACTCTTAGTTAAAGGGTTGGTTAAATTCAAAAATCTTAAATTTTTTTATTAGGGTTTAGAAAACCAATTAGAGTTTATTCAATTTTCAGAATGAAGATCACTTATTTTGATTTCCCACCCTCAAAAGGTTAAATAAAGATGTGATTTTTTTTTTGTCTCTTAAAATTTTCGCAGTTAGTTCTGGCAGTGAAGGAGAAGCTTGAAAAAGAACATCATAGCCTTCCTCTAGGTAGAAATGGAAGGGATGACGAAGATATGATACTGTGGTTTCTGAAAGATCGCAAGTTTTCTGTTGAAGAAGCTGTTTCAAAGTTGACTAAAGCCATTGTATCCTTCTTCTCATAGTTATATGATTATGAAAATTTTATTCATGACTCAACCATTGTTTACTAATTTAGAGCATGCTTGGTTGAGGAGGTGGAAAGTGGGAAGGTGGAAAAAAAAGTGACAATGAGTACATTTAATTTTCCACTTTCTCACATAATTATATTCCTGTTAAATTAATTTTCGTTCCAAATTTTCCAACTTTCCACCTACTAAACCAACCGGACCACCTTCCATGCTTGAAAATTTTACATGCTTATTACTTTTCCTTCTACTCTATATTAGAAATGGCGTCAAGATTTTGAGGTGTCTGAATTGACTGAAGAAGCCGTTAAAAATGTTGCTCAAACTGGAAAAGCGTATGTACATGACTTTCTAGATATCAATGAAAGACCCGTGCTTGTGGTGGTTGCATCAAAGCATTTTCCTGAAGTAAGAGTGTAACTAATATTTTGATGTGTGTTATTACTTTATATTCCTGGTTTTTTTATGTTCCCTGAAACAATTGGAGAAAATAGAAGTATGGTTACTTGCATGTAGCGAAAAATTGATTTGCAGAAAAGGATAGTCATGTTTTTCAACTTTCTTAGGATAATTACTTATAGTTTATGATTTGTTTTTGGTACACGTGATGAGAAGACCCATGGATGCTCCTGTAAGAACAGAAGTTTGTTACCAAAAGCTAAACACAAAAAGAGGCAGTGGTAGGCCGAAGCTTACTTGGGGGAAAGTAGTAAAACAAGATTTAATGGAGTGGGATATAGATTGGCGGACAGTATGTCTTAGAAAGGAATGGAGAAAAGCTATAAGTATGGTGGAGGGTTAGACCCGCTGTTATTCCTATGTTCCAGATGGTCCATTTTTAGTCCTTTTCCCCTTTATTTCCCCCACTTCTTCTTGTCCATTTCTTTTTTACTTTTATTTATTTATATACATATATTTTTATTTTATTTTATTTTATTATTTTATTTGTGTATTTTTATTTATTTATTTTTTTTATTTTTTTATTTTTTATTTTTTTATTTTTTTTTAACCGTTTTGTATCTTTCATGTGGGTTCATCTACCACCGACCCCAATTAATTTGGGATAAAGGTGTTGTTGATGTTGATGTTGATGTTGATGTTGACTTTGATTTGTTAACAACTTGCCTCTACCATGCTTCCCCTCTCTCTACTCTCCCTTTGTTCTACCTTGTCCATTGTTTCTTCTATCCCTTCATTATTTGCAATTGACACTCATATTATGTATCATAGGTCTTAAATTTGAGGAATTAGATTGCCTAATTTTGCATACGAATTTCTGGTAGCAAGTATTTACAACTTGATTTCAGTTGGCACAAGAGATGTCAATATCTTGGATTTTCTCTAGTCCATACTGCTATTGCATTTATTAGTTTGTGGATGTGCCTTACATATAACAGCTTGTCATATCTTTTGGAAAACTGTCTGTGACAATGTGGATAAATAATTATGTTACAGGCACAGGACCCTGCGGACGATGAGAGGTTGTGTGTTTACTTGATTGAGAAGGCACTAAGTAAGCTTCCAATTGGGAAAGAGCAGATACTTGGAATAATTGATCTCAGAGGTTTTGGCACAGAAAATGCCGATATTAAATTCTTGACATTCTTGGTAAAATTTTTTGACTATCTGTCAAATATCTTTTAGTTGAGGAGTCTGTACTGTCATCACCTAATTTGTGGTTTGAACTATCGTGTCTCAATAGGAATAAATTCTACTTAGAGCATTACAAAAACTAATATATTTCTTTATTTTTTGCAGTTTGATGTATTCTATTATTATTATCCCAAACGATTGGGTGAAGTACTATTTGTGGATGCTCCTTTCGTGTTTAAGCCAATTTGGCAGCTAGTCAAGCCCATGTTAAAATCATATGCTTCTATGGTAAGTGTTACCCATTTTAAATGTGCATTTATTAATATAAGAAAAAATTTGGTATTTTCCCCTTTAGGTTAGGTTATATATACCTGGTTCATTTCTCATCTTTCTGGCCTGAATTGTGCCCAAGTTTTGTCTGCTTCTTTCTATATTTGTCTCATACCTTTTCGAGTGTGGAAACTGTGTTCAAGATATTGGGGTTGTTAAGATCTCTTTTTTTGTGTAAGTTACTAATAGTTTGTATTCTAGTCAAGACTTAATTGGGTCTAGGCCTCTAGGGGTTTTAGGAGGTAATTGCCCTCTGAGGTAACCCTAGTAGTGGTAGCTGACCATGACTTTCACCTACTGAGTCAGAGGTTAAGGGTTCAATTCATAGAGCCTCCCTATTAGGCTCAGGTGGTTCCATGCCATTAGTGTCATGTGGGCTACGGGCAATGATCCCATCCATGAGTTCCCTTTTTTCTTTGGCATGCTGACCATATTTCTGACTTTACATCAATTAGCATAATGTTATACATTGCTTATGTGATATTGCACGTAGGATTGTTGAATCACATTTTGAAGTGGAGCAAAATCATAAATTCATAATGATAAATTTCAGCACTGTTTGGTGCTACATATTAAGTCTTTGTGCTGCCCCATCTTCATTTTCTTCTGATTCTCCCCTCCCCCCTGTTTTTCTTTTACAGGTAAGATTTTGCTCTGCCGAGACTGTTGGGAAGGAATATTTTACAGATGAAACTTTGCCGTCAAACTTCAAAAATTGAAAGGGCTTTCAAAGACCGATGTGTGGATTTGATGACGGCAGCACCACATTTATTTAGTAGAAAAATAGTTTCTTGCTTTTAAGAGCTAATGAGTATTCTGAGAGGAATTTTAGAAGAGCCATGCTGATAATTGGTATAGGCATCCGATTTCCTTGTTTCTTCTTATGCATGATATGTAGGAATGTGTGAGGAACTACTCTGGATATTGGAGAATTATGCTAGAGGTAATACTGAAGACACAAGTTCATATTCCCAGAAGATAGGTCTTGTTTCTGCCATCCGACGAGCAAAATTGCATTTTCAGTTTATTGCTTCTTTTTAGCATTTTATCTTATATTCTTACCAATATCTTTATACAAGTGGTACAAAATTGTGATTTTGCTTACCTGCCCAAAAAAATCATATAAAATAAAAGAGTTTTATAAGAGTTATGTTGTAGGAAAATTGATTGTGTAATGTTATAGAGATTCGTTTTGCGTGCCGTAATTTCTTTTTTTTTTTCAAAAAAAGTATGGGCCCCACAAAATGTTATGTGTATAGGAAAGTTTGTTGTGTTTAAATGACAAATGCAAACTCGAAAGTAAAATATATGATTTTCATATAAATCATATTCCCAGAAGATAGGTCTTGTTTCTGCCATCTGGGGAGCAAAAATGCATTTTCAGTTTATTGCTTCTTTTTAGCATTTTATCTTATATTCTTACCAATATCTTTATACAAGTGGTACAAAATTGTGAATTTGCTTACCTGCCAAAAAAAAATCAACTTCCATTTAACCTAAGCAATTTTTCAATTTCTTAGAATTGTGCAATTGAGAGTAATTTTTGTTTATTTCAAAAAACTATGTCTAGCAAACGCGCCGATGAACATACATCGTTATACATGATTGTGATATGCAGTGTGTGTTTAATACATAATCATTTTAAAAGACTCACAATTTACTCACTAGATCAACAATTCTCTTCGGAAATTTTTCTCAATTATTTATCTAGATTTACATTATCCTAAATAATTGACTTAATTATCAATCTAGATTTTAGGAATCATAATAATTGTTATTTATAAAAATAATTTGAATTCAAAATAACTCTCATAACTATCATTGATCATTTAATTCATTAGGCACATATTTTAAAAATTAGAACTAATGTTATAACGACAATTAATGTGGCCTATCAAATGTAACAACCATTACATTCAAATTTAATTGTCATAATAACTATTAATCTAGACGTTCAAACATAGCAATTATCATGTTCGTGTAACTAACAAGTCAAGAATATAGCACAACTTATTCTATATGGAATGTTATTGCATCAAACATGTTATTAGACCATATAATTATTCATTCATAAATATAAAGCAATTATAATTAAACTTTAATCCATGGTTACCTAGAGAGAAAAAAAATTACAAAATAAACTTTTCTAGCTCATTTGTTCCTTCTCAAACTTTGGCAAGAAATCCTAAGACAACTTTCAGAAACCCTAGTTGTCATTCACTACGCCGTCACTCGAACTCATCTCAGCACAAAACTCTAGGGATGGGACCGCCCTAAAGAGACGAAACCATGGCCACCGAAACCACCCAGATCTGACCATCCACGCGCCTACACGTGCCAATTCTTTCCAGCAGAATGGCGCTCACACGCAACCACTTCCGGCGGCACGTACAACGTCATCTCTGCCAGAACTAGTTGTCTTCTTGCATGGTTTTATGTCCTCTTTCACCCCATATGGTTGGTTTCTCAGATCGGCTATTGGAAGGTCGCGAACATATCCAAACAAATCTAGATCTCCTTGTTTTCGGCTTCTCTTGGATCTTCTTTTCATTACAATTTTGCAATACAACAAAAAATATACAAAAATTGAAATAAAAATCAAGGAGTAAACCTAATCATATGGGATTAGCCTCTTTGTTACAATATAAGATAATACAAAGAAATCTCCACCGTAGATTAAAGCCAAAAACAATACATAAAAGCATCAATTTTTAAAAGGCATGAATTATAAAGATACACATGCCAATATATAATAACAAATATAGAATCCTCAGTGTCATATTTCATGAAGCTAACTAATTACATAAAAAATGTAAATCAAAGAACTAGATCCACATCCAAACATACAATCCGGCTCTCATACCAATTGTAGGCGTAATATAGAATATATATGGATTCCAAGAAATCCTAAACTTAAACTAAATGGGTTATAGATTTTTTGAGCTCTCCTTATACACTACACTCAATTGAGCTTTAGTATGATTATAGAGATTGATTGAGCATCACATTTAAATTTTGTCATCATGACATGCTTCTTATCAGTACAGCAAAGCACAAATGGGAAATAAATATAAATATATATTACATATCATTTTCTAAATTAGGAACGCAGACTCGGAACATTGCCACTTACGAATTTTGAGGTTATTTTTCCAAAAGCTAACACAAAAAATGAGAGTATTCAATGTCTTATAAATCCTACATGAATTATCTACACAATCAATATGAAACTGATAACATATGCGCAAACCAAACTACATTTACTTAGTTCCCAAAGTAATACAATCAACCAATCTAAATCAAAAGTTTGAATATTCAAAATTATTAGAACCAAACTAAAAAATTAATAAAGTTTATTAAAATCAAGATTTCATCCCCGCCCCCCTCTTTTAACTATAAATTAGATTTTGATTTCATCGTATAAATAAATTTTATTTAATTTTTTCTTATCTTTTTTAAAACAACAAACTTGTCCAGTGTTAATTATGCAGATAAGTTTCATATTAGCAATTATAAAGTAATTGATAGAAATTTAGTGGATTTTTTTTTTCAGAAATATATTTTAGACAACGTAAAATTGAAGATAAAGCTTAAGATATAAGAAGTTTAATCGTGTTATTGTTTTTACACAATGACTATATAATGTAAAGCTCACAAACATATCAGTAAAGGATCCATATCGACTATTACCAAAAAAAAAAAAAAAGGATCCATATCGAATGTACTAAAAATAAAAAGGATCCAAATCAAAGGTGGGTCATACCATACCGTAATTAAATAACTATAATGTGTCTCCGATAAACGACAATGCTTCGGTCTCAATGGTTGTTACCATAGTTAATAATGGTATAAGTGGACTGCAAAGGAAAGGAAAGGAAAGAGCGATGAAGAAGGGATGGGTTTTGAGCGTGGGAGTCAACGTGATATGTTTGGTTATGGTTTGCGGTGCGATCGAGTCCCCACAGTACACAGTTGTCCACTCCGAGTCCGATTTCGATATCAGACTCTATCGAACCTCTGTCTGGATGTCCGCTCTTGCTTCTGACATTTCCTTCCAGAAAGCCACCTTGAATGGCTTCCACAGGTCTTCTATTTCTCTATTCTACTCAACACCCATATTCAACATCATAAACATGTTGCCTTTTAATTTTTTTATTTTAATGTCCCAACACGAATTAATTATTCAATATGCTAGCTAGCTAGGTGTAGAAACTAGGCTATGTTACGGATTGAATATAGATGTCTAATTCAACAACTAGTAATCATATCTAGGGAGTGAAGGTATAGATAGATAATTAGCAATGGGAAGTATAGTATCTCTAGCTAATAGTCAGATGGTATGAATCAGCGGTATTGTGAGTGCTCTGGGAATAGATTACGCAAAGGAGATAGACAAAAATTTTACCCTGTACCAAACATCAATTCCTGAAAAAAAAAAAAAATAGCCAGTGCGAGGAAGCTATTATTTCCATAACTCAATGTTATTTCCATAGTTTTATAAATAGAAAACCAATCATTTTTGAAAATCAGCCGGTGTCAAGGCTGTTGAGATATATAAAGTCATTAATGTAGCCTCACCCAATAGGTTAAGCTTTTGGGTTGAATTGGTTCTTTACATTAATGACTTTATATATCAATTCAACCCAAAAGCTTAAGCTGTTGGTTGAGGCTACATTAATGACTTTATATATCTCAACACGCCCCTTCACACGAGAGCCCACTGGGCTTGAAGGGTGGACCAGTGGCGGACCCAGGAAAAAAAATTTATGTCCGCACAATCAGTGGCGGGGTTCGGGGGCAGCGCCCCAGAATTTTTTTTTTTATATAAAAGTTTAAATCAACGCTTGAACCTGCTCATAATCTAGTTGCTTCCATAACAAGCTGCAGACAATAGTTTGACCAATTATTTTCCCCCTAAATCTTATCAATCCTTCAAAACAAATATGAGAATATACTCCAGTACATCCATACATCATCATTCTATTTTGGGATATGTTATTTTACCTAACATTTTTCTGCCTACTTTTGCCTACCACTCTCCAATACCGTTAGATCAAAATCTCAAGAAGAGAGAAAAAGATAAATGTTAGTTAAGATTCTGATCTAACGGTGTTGGAGGGTGGTAGGTAGAGGTAGGCAAAAAAATGGTAAGTAGAATAACCTATCCCATCTATTTTATAGTGGTGAATAAAAAAGTTAACACTACCTATACAGAAGTAAAACAAAATCACAGTGAAGGTCTCGTCTCTAGATATTAACTTATTTGAGAATGTCAGACCTACAATCAATCATCTCTTTTTATAAAAATAAAAAAGGAAACAAAGGATGAAGAGAACGTGGAAATGAGTACGTGACAAGGGAGGAAGAATAAGTTTTCTTTCTAATCAATGTGCGTTGTTGCGTTGTTTTAATCATCTTCGTACGTTGTTACGTTGCTAACTAATATAAGAATAAATATCCTTTTTGGTCCCTAAAAAAAATTTGGTCCTCACTTTAGTCCATTATAAAAAAAAAGTTAGTCACCTGATCCCTACGGACCCACTTTGGTCTTTCTGTGGGACTAGTGTAGGTCTTTTTTGAATTTGTGATGGACCACGATTTTAATTAAATTGATCTACTTTAAATTTTTTAAGGACCTCGAGACTAATTTTTTTTTGTAAAGGACTAAATTGAGAATCATGTTTTTTGTTAGGGACTTAAAAAATTATTTACTCCTAATATATATATTGAATCAAGAGACAAATAACAATCTAAAAAAAAAAAATAAAAAAAATAAATTAAAATCAAAAAGTTTATGACCGCACTTGCGGGCATTTGCCCGCAAGTGGGTCCGCCAATGGGGTGGACAATGCACAGGCCCACCTACCTGTGCGAACAAATAAATTCCACTCGAAAGAAAGTGGGGGGCAGTGAGGATCGAACCCGGGATACGAGGCTCTGATACCATGTAAAGAACCAATTCAACCCAAAAGCTTAAACGGTTGGGTGAGGCTACATTAATGACTTTATATATCTCAACAAACCCAAAAGCTTAAGCTGTTGGGTGAGGCTACGTTAATCACTTTATATATCTCAACAAAGGCAGGTTCTAAAGTGACTTGCCAGTGGTTGTGTTTTAGCAAAACTAACAACTGATTGTTAACCAAACTCAAACCATAGTCTAATAACTAAGAGGGTGAAAAAATAAAAATAAAAAATCATGGATTGTTTTGTGTGTTGCAGGTTGTTCCAGTTCATAGAAGGTGCCAACCTTAATTTCTCTCGAATTCCAATGACTGCTCCAGTGTTGACAAGCATGGTACCTGGTGCTGGTCCCTTACAATCCCAAGGCTATTATGTTAGTTTGTACTTGCCTGTTAAGTTCCAAGCCAACCCACCACTCCCACTTCCAGAGCTCAATATCAAGCCCTATGAATTCAGCAGCCACTGCATTGCAGTGAGAAAGTTCTCTGGATTTGCCAAGGATGAGAGGATTGTTAAAGAGGCAGAGAAGCTTGCCACCAGCCTCAGCAGGTCTCCATGGGCTGATTCAACTTCGTCCAAGGGTCAACGTGCTTATTCAATTGCACAATACAATACTCCTTTCCGGGTTATTAAGCGCAGAAACGAGGTTTGGGTTGACATTGATGCTCCTGAATTAGGCTGTAACTTGGTTGGTGCTGCAGCATATTGAAGAAATGTTTTACTACTTGTGCTTGGAGTGAGTTACTCTCTCTTTATCTCTTTATATCATGTAAATATTCTGAAACATATATATTATGCATTGACTTGCATGAATTATTATTAGGATTTGCATTTTGTATGTTGGTTTTTTTTTTTTTCACGTGATCATTTCATGTGAAAAGAGATCAAACTCACTTGAAAATATCAAATCCATTAAGATGAAATGTATAGTAAAGATCTTTCTTTCTCCCTGTAGAATCTTTAACATGCTGACACTAATTAACAGCGAAGTAGGAGGGTGGGAAAAGATGGGAAGCTTCTTTGTGGTTCATTACTTCATTGGGTTCTAGATGCATTATTTGTGGCTTCTATCAAGCATTGTTATACAAGAACTAACCGTGAATGAAGACACTTCGTTAGTTAAAAAATAACGGGCCTGTATGGGATAGGTTGAGTTAGTTTCGGTTGGGCTCAACTAAAATTGAACCTAGCAATTTTATGTTATGTTTACATTTTATAACTTTAACTAATTCAAATTAAGACTTACAAACATGACTGACACAAATAATAACAAACAAGGTTGGGTTGGATTGATCTATCAAGTTATATCTATTCATTTTCTATTTTCAATCACTGTATATAATAATTTTATGAACGGTTAATATTTTCAATCACTGTATATAACAATGTTTACATTTTTTATTGATTTATAAAAAATAAAAATAAAACCTGAAATGTATAATTTGCTATCTCTGCAGGAGGGGGATTGTTTTTCCTGCAACAGGAGCAACAATTCCCCCATTTATGAATTTGTTGCATAAAAATTAGCAGTGCTTCTTCTTCTTTTTTATGATAAAAGTTTGTTGCTGATAAATTGGTGCATATCTAAAGAAAAATATATAGACCAAAAAGATGGTTTGGGTTGAGGCTAAAATTAACCTAACATTGTTTTTTGTTTGTTACATTCTCTTACCCAAATCAAGAGATTACCAAAATGATTAAACCATGAAAAATAGACTCGGGATGGGTTATACACCTTTTAATGGACCGTTTTCGCGTACTCACTATCCAAAATAAAAAAAATGCATATTTGAAGGAAAATCTTTAGACAAAGAAATTCTAGAATATTTCCTTGAAAAATATCAGGTAGCGTAGTGTGGAATTAATGGAGATTGAGAGTTGTGTATAAATCAAATTGATTATTAAGGAAAAAGGAACAAAACATTTCAAGTCTCATGAACTGTTAAGCTATCAAGATATCAAGGTTCAATTGTAACTACTAATAATAAGTATCTATGCAGGCTTTTAAATAAGGGATTATATTTTCTTATGCAACATAAGATATGTTATCTCATGTTGCACTCACAATTTTGAGTGGGTCCCATTGCACGGAGAAAGAGAAAAAAATATTAAAGTGGGACCCATACCTTTTTGAGTGTGTAAGAGAGACTTGTTGTCTCATGTGACATGAGATTAATATTTCCCTTTAAATAATTAACTCAAACCAAATTTTTAAAAAGATTTCAAACCAACCCAACCACTCCCAAATAAGAATAAGACCACAATTAAGAATCTCTAGTGTTAAGATTTATAAAGGGGAATTACTTTCTTGTGAGGCACTTGCACTTCTTTTCCCATCTCCCTCCCCGTGATTCAATTTAAAAAAATGGGTAAAACGGGGCAGTCCGCAAATAGTGGAAATTGATATCAGCTGCATCAACTTAGCAAGTATAAATGTCTTCAACTACAATCAACTTATCACAAGGCGTAAGTTTCTTCTTCCATATTACTTTGCTTTAAAGCTAACTCTTCAATTAGTGTGGATTGTTAAAGTTTAACTAGTGGTGGTTTTGACGCCTTTGTAATCATGCCTAACCCGAATATGAATTAATCGGCACTCGTTGACAGTAGCATAGCGGATGATTTATAAAGAAAAAAAAACTTGTACAACTTACTACCGTTCAACGTTAAGATCGTACAAGCACTGAATCATTGACAAATATTGATACGCTACGATACGTCATATTTTTTTTTTTGTAAATTATGACACGACGCATTTTCAACTTCTCAAACCATATCCTTAAGTTCAGAAATTGCCCAAGATACGACTTTGGATGATTTTTAGGTACGCAAATATTCTGTTTCAGATCATATCAATTGAAAATGCAGCAGCGAATTCCACCCTAAAAAGAAAAATGCAGCATCGAATACATGAAAGTCCCCAACTATTTTTTTTATTAATGTTTGCGCAATTGGCACCAAAACTTTGGGTATGAAAGCTAGTTTCCTGTTGGTATATGGTTCTAAAAATTTTGTGTAACAAGTAAATAAGCATTGATTTCCAAAATCACCAGTATCATGCCTTTCCAAAATGAATTTATGCAAAGGAAATATATAAGAACACTTAAATATATATTAGTTAGATAGATCGGAGTCTAGCAAGAGTATAAGATGGCAATGATGAGCCAGGAGCAGAAGCTCTCCTGCTTAGCATTGGTAGCTTGATTTGACTACAATAAACAATGAATAAAAGAAATAGAAGTACAGCAAAGAGAAAAGTTGGAGAAGACATGACCTTGACACTCTTCAAAGTTGAAATGATAGTCTGGGCTGTGCTGGTTGGGTTATTTATCCATAGAAATTTCCCTTCAACCAATGCAGCTCCTAATGTCCAGGAAACATCACCTGGACCAAATACCATTTCTACATCACCGAGACACAGACCATACTCAATCAATGATGCCATATAAGCCACCCGGAAACAAAATTGTCCAGCATAATTTGGATTTTCAGAAATACTGCTCAAGCCCGCCCATGAATTTGAACATATTTGCTTGCCTGACTCCCAAATCATTGTTAAGTTGGCTCTTGGACTCAAATTTAGCTTGTTGTAGACAAAAAAGAAACCAGATAAAGCATGAAAGCGCTTGATTGGGTGTGCAATAGCTGTTGAATTGATTATACCAGTGCCTGCAAGGTACATAATGAAACAGAGTAAGTTCCTACTAGCAGCTACCACAGAAACAAAACCCATAACAACCCCTCCACCTCCAATGTTCTTTTGGCCACCCGTACCATAAAGAAAAAGTGAACTATATGCTAATCATCAAAAGTAATGCAGTTTCACATTACTTCGATGACTTTTCAAGAGAGTTTTGGAGAACGCGTAAGAGGTAGGGAAGATGAAAGTAACTATACATAGCCACCAGACATAAAACCAAACTGCAATTATTCATGTCAGTGATAACTTCATCAAAAATTTATTGTGCTGAAATCAATGTTATAATATGCGTCCTAAGGAGAATGCTAGGAGAAAAAAACTAATTTAAAAAGGTTAAATAAGTGTAAAACAAAACTACAATCCAAACAAATGATTATACCCTTTATAATACCAGAAAATGAATTAGCTTGGCAATTTTTGCCAACTGTCGGATGTGACACTTTGGAATTGCTCAAGTTCATAGCAGCAGCAATAGCTAGTTCTTTGCATTGCTCCCAATCAGGTTCTCCCACAAGACGTAAAGAATGAAGTTCAGTTTTCTGGGGTTGGCTATGATTTTTCTGATAAGTGACATCCAATCCGGAACAAGAATAGCAAGTATAGTTTTGTAAAAAAGTAGATACCAGACAAGGATGTCTGAGTTCAGAGACACTTGTGGCACTTTCTTCACTTTGATTGTTTCTGAGCATAAGAACTGTCCTATCAAATGCCTCATTCAAGCCAAATGCAGGCAATGAGTATGCCATAATCCGATGTTCAATTGAACTGAGCTTTGATCTCATCACGCGCACATCATCATCTCCGGCCCCATCATCATCGATCTCCACCACAATCTGCAACGAGGAGCCACCCAAATCAACAAGTCCCAAAGTGGGAGACCCAGGATAACTATCAAACCCCCCAATTTTGTAGTTCAAAGCAACCCATCCATAATAAGCTTCCTCCTTCCCACTTAAAACCCTTACCCAATTTTTCCTAAACATAAAGGAGTGATCTTTCACAACAGCTTCAACATCTTCCAGGACTCGTTTGGCATCATCCCTCTGAATCCTCCTCAACCCAGCAGTACCAAGAACAAAAACAGGAGTCTCACTATGCTTTTCATGTGGCACCAGATATTCTGCCCACAAAATCAAAGGCTCCAAAGCTTGTCTCACTCCTAAAGAATCATTAACAAATTTATCTAACCCAGGTTCTGTTTGCATACAGTGATATTCACAAGAAGTTTTCCAAATTGAACTCTTTGTCACGTTATCAGGATACGAATGCAGCAAAATTGGATAGTTACCATTACTCGATATCCACTCATACACATTCACACGAGTCCCAGTGCTTCCACAATCCACAACCACAGTGTAATACGACGACGTATTGAGTATACTACGACCTTTTCTGTTATCTGACTCGAGATAGAAACCCAACAACAACAGCATCGTGATCAAAATGGCTGCACCGATTCTTAACGGCCATTTATGAGTGGCGATTCGCTTCTCTTTCGAAGGGGATTTGGGGAATTCCATTTAGGGAAACGATCTAATAGGAAACCCCCTTTTCAGCAAGTTTAAATTGAAATTCAATATCATGATTGTGGAAAAACATGTATTTTATTTCACAAACAAGGTTGATATGAATTTACCTTAGTACATAAATTTGTTGCTACTTTGATTTGATCCGCAATTACCTGATGGAAAAGGAAAACTCATTAAGTAGCCACCGACTTTGAGTCTGAACATCAGATCGGGGTTCACGACGGGACTGTGGTGGGGAGAATCAAGTTTTAACTCTCCAACTAGTACAATCAAGTTTTAATGGGTTTGATGTTTAATTATGTCATTTTTTTTATTTTTTTTAATAAATTAATTATGTGAGAGAAAAATATAAATAATAATAAAATTAGGGATAGGATATTGTCACACCCAAGTTATGTTACACCCATGTGACACCCAGTCAATCTCACCGTTAGATCGCTTATGTTGATCCAACGGTTATATTTATTTTCATCTTTGTATGGTCATGATTTCCTAAATTTAATATTTTATATTTATTTCTACCTTTGTATGGTTATGATTTCTCATATTTAATGCTTTCACTTTAAATTTGGGAAATCATGACCATACAAAGATGAAAATAAATATAACCGTTGGATCAACATAAGCAATCTAACGGTGAGATTGACTGGGTGTCACATGGGTGTAACATAACTTGGGTGTCACAATATCCTATCCCATAAAATTATCAAGAAAGAAAATGGAAGAATTTTTTTAAAAATAATTTAAATAAATAAGTATTAATTTATGTATTTTTTTCATTTAAAATGATATATTCTATATCTTTTAAAAAACAAAAAATTTCTCGCTTTTAATTCATTTTATTATTAATTTTTTAATTAATGAGAACGAATTTTTTATTGAATAAGATTTTTTAAATTAAATTTGTTGTATTTATTATTAGTTTAATTTAATTTAAAATATCATAGTTTTAATTTATTAGAATTGAAATACATTTTTATTGGGATAAATTTATTTTAACGAGTTTTTTTTTTTGATATTTTTTTTCCAACTCATCTTTTTCTTGTGGATATAATATTCAACATGATTTATTAAATACTTGTTTATTAATTTTAAGATAAATATCTAAAAGTATTAAAAAAATATAGCAGCAATAAATACTTAATAACTCATTGGAACTCTTAAAAGACATATCGAGCAAGAGAGAAAAACTATAAAAATGTAGGAATCTTTTTTTTACACTTATGTAGATAAGTTATTTTATGTTAGGGAAACAAAATAATAATAAAAAAATCCACTAGGATTAGCCTGAGGTGTGTGTGTTAGGTGTATGTAGTGTAGTGGTGTTTGTTTAATTCTCATGTAATGCAAAAAAATAAATAAAAAAGATACACAAATGATTAGAGAGAAAAAAAATAAAAGTAGGAGACACCTTCGTTATATGTTTATCGAAAAAATGAATTACCTCTATAACACAAAAATATATCATATTTTACATCCCGATTTTCCAGGTAAGAAATTATATTTATAACTTTTTTTATAATTTTTAAAATTATTTTTTATTATTGAATTAAAATCAAATCAATCATTTTCACGTCGTATTTTTTATAATTATTAATTTAATTTTAATGTAACAATAAAAAAATAATTATAAAAAGAAAAAAATTATAAGTATAATCTTTATCTTTTCAAAATGAGAAAGGATATACTTACCACCAAAAAAATTTACTACATATACAATCAATTTAATTACCATTGATTTTTGTCAATCTAACGGTTATAATTTATGAAAATTAATAATTAATTAATAAATATGACTCGATAATTTTTAATAAATTATAACTGTCCGATTGATGAAAATTAACAATGATTAAGTTAGTTGTAAAGATTAATTTTTTTTTTGATAATAAGTATATCATTCTCCTTTCAAAATAGTCTATTTATCATGCAACAAATTTTTTTGGAGATACTTATATCCTTCCCCTTTCAAAATACTCTATTACTGACGCATCACGCAACAGATTTTTATTGATTAACAAAATTTTATTTATTAATTAGCAACGTGAAAAAAATTAAGAAGCGAACTAATAATTTTTTTTTTTAACTGATTCTAATGATCTCTTTGAGGCGAATCAGAATTCTCGGTATCTCCACGGGTTCGACTCTTTGAGTTGACTATGAGACTAATCCAGAGAGTTCGGGTGCGAGTCCAAGGATTACGGTACTTATGTCCCTCCCCAAATGGTGTTGGCGAGATTCGAACCGAGGTCCTCTCCCATCACTCACTCTCTATGCTACCAACTGAGCCACCACATTTGGATTAAAGGGAACTAATAATTTACCGAATGAGCCACCACACTTGAATTAAAGCGAACTAATAATTTGTTCGATCATTTTCCTCCCCAGATAAAAAAAAAATATTTCACACCAAAAAAATAAATAAATTATTTAGTAAATAAGTGTCGTATAAATTTGGTATAAGGGGTAAACCTTATTTAATATGATTTCTGAAGTGTAGCAATATCAATTAAACAATTTTCTCACGGGTGGTAACTGAACTGTGTTACGTACGCGAACTCCTTTGAGCTCTCTCTCTCTTTCTATCTCTCTTTCTCTTTCTCACCCTTCTTCCTCTCCGATCCGAAACCCACAGCCCAAACCCACCCCCTTCGACAGATCTTCTTTTCTCCACGCGTTCCACAAAATTTCCCTATCCTCTGGATCGCATATTCTCTCTCTCTCCCTCTCTCTCTCTCTTCCTCTTCGCAGCTTTCTACAATTGCTTCTCTAGGGTTTCTACGAGGCAACTCATTTCCCAGTTATATCTGGTACACTTTCATTTCCACTTCCAACTATTATTCATCCGCGATTGATTCCCGAGAAAACGAAGGGGAAAAAATATATTGCGTGTGGGGAAAAAATTAGAACTGTCATTTTGGCAACTGTAACTTCAACCGCTGCGGGATTTTAATCTTGTTTTTTGTTATTCGAGAAAAAAAAATTGGACCGGTGTAGAATCTGTTTTATAATGAAACCTTTCTTGTGCAACTATGTATATATATATTTTTTCGTTTTCTGCGGAATGATGATCTAAAGGCCTCACTATTATCAATTATGCTTTTAACTTCATTCTGAACATGCTATGCTTATGTGATTGTTGGGTGTTTCTTGCCGATCCTATCGTTGTTGATGAGCAGTCGTTATTGAAATGTTTGTGTTGCTTTTGTTGGCTCTGTTTTTTAATGTGTTTTGGTGAAAAGATCACTATCGTGGAATATGTTTCAAATGATTGGTTGTGGTGGAATTGAATATTAATGGTTCTGGGATATGTTTTTTGGTGGACTTGGTATAGTACATGGTTGTGACTGCAAGTGTTATACCTACATTTATTTACTATGTTAGTGAGCTGGTGCTATTAACAAATACTGAACGATCATGATGATAAAAGACTCTCCTATATCAGTTGATTCATTACATGAAGTTCACGTCCTTTTTTTTAGTGGTTTGAACTTTGAACATAGTTGCATAGTATTAAATGTGTTTGCAGAAAATATGGTTAGAAATAGAAACCCTTGATAGAACATGAATATTTTGCAATACATCATATTAATTAAATTGTGTTTCTCTGTCTCTCTTAGTAGGCCTTTCAATTGGCTTGAATGACCGTGTGGCGGCAACTAGGCTATGACTTCAAGCATGTTGAACGGGGAGCGAAGGTACGTTTTCATTTGTGAGCTTTGGAAGCCACCACAATGAACTAGTGGTGAGGGCTTCAGGTAGTGTGTAGGAGGTCCAAGGATGCATTATAATACCCCTTTGGAATGAAAATCATATAGTGATATTGTTTTTTGTAGAAAATTTGTCTATATGGTTCGAATGGTAAGTTGGTAACCGCATGTCTCCTCAATTGAGGTTTCAAGTTGTAGTCTCCTACAATGTGTGCATGAATTATGAATAAAAGAAAATTGAAATTGATGATGCTATTGCTGTTACAGATGGGCCTCTTCCAGAAGAGGTGGTATGACTGTTTTAGGGAAAGTTGCAGTTCCAAAACCTATCAACTTACCCAGTCAGAGGTATTTGATTTCTGGCTGAACACTTTTTCTTTTCAGTTAACTAATGTGGTTGGTTTACCATCTGAAAATTTTCCCTCTCCCTTTTATGAAGGTTAGAAAATCATGGTCTTGACCCCAATGTTGAGATTGTCCCCAAGTGAGTAAATATTTTATTGACCTGAATGATATGACTTTCTGCTGCTTTTGTTCTTCTTCATCTGGATTGCTGATGCTCGGGAGGTCTTTATTTTGATTAGGGGTACCGTCAGCTGGGGTAGTAGATCATCTTCTGCATCAAATGCATGGGGGTCTTCTTCTCTGTCCCCAAATACTGATGGTACTAGTTCACCCAGTCACCTCAGTGCTCGTCCATCATCTGGTGGAAGTGGTACACGGCCTTCTACTGCTGGTAGTGATAGGGCTCTTGAGCCTACTGGTAATGCATGGGGGTCAAATTCTCGGCCTTCATCAGCATCTGGGGCACTGCCAACGAATCAGTCTTCACTGACACCATTGCGTCCTCGCAGTGCAGAAACAAGACCTGGTAGCTCACAGCTGTCTCGATTTGCTGAACCCTTGAATGAAAATTCAGTTGCTTGGAATGCTGCTAGGACCACAGAGAAACTGGTAGGTTTCTTTTTTTACTTATGCTTGAAACTTGAGTACGACCATTAGTTACTTTTGAAGATTTTTTTAAATATAATTTTATGATTGTCGTTGTTTCTAGGAATCTAGGTTCATTGGGTTATTCAATAAAGTGTTTAAGATGTCTGTCTTTACATCAATTGACCTGGGAATTTGTTTTACAGTTGTTAAATAATTTCCACTTCTCGCCTAAATTTTCATTGGTTTGGGGATGGTGAACACCTTGTTGCTGAGCATAGTTACTGTTTAATGCACATGTGTAGCTATGATTTGGTATTTGTGTGTAAGAGCTATTATCTTGTTGTATTATGATTTACCGATTAAGATCTGTGGTATAGAAGTTATATTCACTATTTTTTGGGTTGTTGACAAAGTAGATGTTTTGTCTTTGTGTTTGACATAGTCCTTATATTCTTAGCCCCACCTTCCTATGGCTGCCTTTATTTTGTATGCATTGCTAGCCCTTCTGGTGATAGTAGTCACTTTTTGTACAAATGCAGGGAGTTACACAACCCAAGAATGATGTATTTTCCCTGAGCTCTGGAGACTTTCCAACCCTTGGTTCTGATAAGGACAAGTCTATCCTGAATTCGGAGTTACTAGGTATTATAATTCTCAGTTTTAGGATTTCTTGTTTATGTTGTTTAATGATATATATTATCCCTTTTAAACACTTGGAGCCATTATATTTTACTACGCCAATAAGGTTAAAGGTTTTAACATTTATGTAGTTTTTGGGCAGCACATCTTGTATTGAAGTTTTATAATTGAAAATCCTATATACATTCTTGAAGAAGTGCTGCTAGCCTAATATTGGAAATGACTTGGTAGAGGACTTACAATTTATGAAGGTATTCTGTTAGAACACACACAACAGGGGATGGAAACACAAGTGTATATTTGATTATAATCCTGATATCAATATTGTATCAGAAGACAGTACACCAGAAAAGGAAAATTAACAATGAAAAAGAAACAGAAACACATAACAGAGGGGGGTATTCGAGAGGCCCTCACTCCCCACCAGTCACCACCGCCGCACTCTTTATCCCCCTCCAATCTGTTAGATCTGTTATGCACCACTAATGGGCCTACTACTCTTTCCCTATGGGCCCTACTCACATATGTTTTCTTTTAACTTGAGGCCTCCTGTCATATTGTTATTATTTTTATTTTCCACCGTGTGTTGGAGCGAGGGTTTAGTGTTGAGAGTGTAATTCATCTTGTAGAGTCATATGGCTGCATGGGTTTTAAAATGGGATAAAGATGGTTGTAGTAAACTATTAATTTTTATTTATTGTCGAATAATTATACTGCAATACTGAATTGTTATCTTGAAACAAAGTTGATTTCAGAGATGTTACTGGTTAGTTGTTTAGAAATAATTGTATAAATATAAAGATCGCATTAGTATCATTTGGCACACTACTAGGTTCTTAATTTTATTTTATTTTGGGATAAATTTTTCATCAACCGTTGGCAGATCACAGTTCTCATGCTCGCCCTGGCTCATCTTCTGGGCCCATGAAAGAGATAAATGAAACCTCTGTTGTTGGTATGTCTGCATGCTCTTGCTTCTATATTAACATGTTCCTTCCATTCCATTTTTATTTTGTCTTTTTCTGCTGATTGGATCTGACTTTCTTTCATCTATTAAGATATTGTATGTTGCTGATATTACAGATGAAGTTACTGTAAATGCAAATATGAAGGGCGGAACTGTAAATTCTTGGAGAAGAGATTACCAGGCTTACAACGAGGATGGTGTGAGGCCTGGCATAGAGAAATGGCAGGGAAATTCCCAGTCTTACCCTAATGCTGGTATTCCACCCCAACATTATGATGCTTGGCATGGCCCTCCAGTAAATAATCCTCAAGCTTGTGTTTGGTTCAGGGGTCCCCCCGGTGGTCCTCCATTTGGAAATCCTGTTGCTCCAAGTGGCTTTCCAATTGAACCATTTCCATATTATCGTCCACATATCCCGCCTACTGGTCTTGCCAACCCCCCACAAGTTCCCCCTCCTGGGACTGCACCAAGAGGACACCATAAGAATGGAGATGTGTACAGGCCTCATATGCCTGATGCCTATATTCGTCCAGGCATGCCTATCAGACCTGGCTTTTTTCCTGGTTCAGTGGCCTATGAGGGGTATTACAGTCCTCCAATTGGCTACTGCAATTCAAATGAACGAGATGTTCCTTTCATGGGAATGGCTGCTGGACCCCCTGTTTATAATAGGCACCCAAATCAAAATCCCCCTGAACCTGGGAGTTCACAAGGTAGATCTGGTGGATATGTTGTTGCTGGGAAGCACTTGGCCTCGGAGCAAGTGGAATCTAGTCTTCCTCCTGATACTGCTGGACCATACAGAGTTCTTCTTAAGCAACACGAGTCCGACAGAAAAAATGAACCAGTACATTGGGAGGATTCAGAGACAACCAATGCAGCATATGTTAATGGCAGGGACCAACCAAGAATGGCAGTTTGGGAGAATGAGCGGAGATCAGATTACATAAAGAACGAGATGGATTTGAGTAAAAGTGCTCATGGTGAAGAAGCTTCTTCTCAGACTTCACAAGTTCAAGTATCTAGTTCTTCTGTCATTAAGGCCAAATTTCCTGAAAGTTCAGGAAACATCAAGAAATCTGATGATATTTCAGCAAGGAAATTTGATGGTGCTCCCTCTGATATGCTAGAAATCCCCCAAAGGCCATCTGCTCCAAAAGATGCCAGTCTGATTCAGAAGATAGAGGGTTTAAATGCAAAAGCCAGGGATAATTCATCTGCTAGAAATAGAGAGGAACAGAGGAATAAATTTCATGGTGGTAATTCTCCTGTAAACCATGTGGTAAATGAAGTTGGTGTTGATGTTTTGTTTCCTGCAAGAACCCATGCCAATGAAGTTATAAATCCAGCCCATCGTGAATTGGGTGCTTCTGGTGCAGAAAAGAATTTTGAATCCTTGTCTTCCAGTGGAACAGCCACATCCAGGTTTGGCCATAACTTCTTGGTATTGACTGCTGTAATTGTGGTTTGTTTATCTTGATGAAAAGTATTGAAATGCTTATTCACAGGCGAACTGCTCATGGCATGCAAGGTAGAGGTGATCATCGTAACAGGGGAAGATTAAACAATCAAGATGCTGATGGTTGGGGAAAGAAATCTGTTGTTGAAGATTCTTCAGCTTCATCAGGGGAACTGTTGGAAGCATCTAATGTTCTTGTGGGTGACAATCGGATATCTGTTGAGACCTACGATAGGTCTGGGTCATATAACCAAGCAAGGCACGATGGAGAATCTGTACAAAGGCACGATGGAGAATCTGTTCAAACCATGTCTGATCCTGCTGACAGCCATGAACAGGTAATGTATACACCATTTCTATGCTTACTACTTGCAAGCCTCTGTACATTTAAAACTAATACAAACAGTTTGAGACTCATCAGCGTGCCAAAATGAGAGAGTTGGCTAGGCAACGGACTAAGCAACTGCAGGAAGAAGAGGAGGAGCGGACAAGAAAGCAAAAGGCTAAAGCTCGTGCTAAGTTGGATGAGTTAAACAGGCGTTCTCAAGCAGTGGAAGGGTCAACCGAGAAAGAGTATGCTACAAGTACTGCTATCCAGAATAAGCAAGAGGAATTACAACCTTCTGATACAGTTGCTGTAGCAGGCAAATCTGGAGTGGTCAGTTCAGATGTAGATTGTAATGCCAATGTTGTCAGGCCAATTAATGATACCAGCATAAATAAAGTGGAAAAATCGCCAATCTTGTCCAGTGCGCCACCTTTAGAGATGCTCAAGAATTCTGGCAAAGATCTTGCTTTTAATCATAATCAATCAGTGACCTTGCACCAGGATGTTAACAGTGCTGATGCCGCTAAACCTTTACAAGTTCACGAGAATATTGCCTCAAAGCAGAAGCGAATGAGCTATAAACAAAAGCAGAATCTTCCTTTAGAGAAACCATACAGGGATAAGGTTGTTTCTACCACCTCAACTGCCCCAAAAGTTCAGAATGAGACAATGGTTAATGTTTCTCTGTCATCTGGCGTTGTTACAAATGAAGTTGGTTTAGCCAGTGGCTCTGACTTACCCATTAATTCAATTGCTATGGTTGAGTCTTCAGTAAACCAGAAAAAGAAGAATAACAGGAATGGCAAAAACAAACACAAAGTTGAAGAAAGTTCATCTCTGGCTGCACTACCATCTGCAATACCAAAAGAAGCCAATCTTTCCAAAAGTTCTTTTGAAAGTGATAAGTCCAAGGCTTCTGACTCTGAGTTAGATCAGGGCCCAAATCAGCCAGAACCCTTGTCTAAAGATCCAAATCAGTTTTCAGAGCAACGCAGGTATTTAGCAAATGAGGAATCCCATGGTAGAATGAATAGCCAGTGGAAATCACAGCATTCTCGTAGGATGCCAAGAAATATGCAGGCTAATAGACCAGCAGAGAAACTCCATGGGAGTGATGCTGTCATGTGGGCACCTGTTAAAGCACAGAACAAGACTGAGGTCATAGACGAATCAAGTGAGAACAGTAAAATTGAGGCAATTAATCCTGTAAAGAATGATCAGCAGGTGCATAATTTAAAAAATAAGAGGGCAGAAATGGAGAGATATATTCCAAAACCTGTTGCAAAAGAAATGGCTCAGCAAGGAAGCATACAACAGGTGGCTTCATCAATCAGTCAGGATCCTGCTGATGATAGTGTTGGAAGAGTTGATTCTGATTTGCAGGGCCCCGATGTTGCTCAGCATACTAATTTAGTTGTTGGAAGAGTGGGCTCTGCAATGGAGTCTAAAAATAGAGATGGAAGACATACTAAGCAGGGAAAAGTCCATGGATCATGGCGGCAACTAAATCTAACAGAATCAACTAATGTGCATGAGATGCAGGATGGACTGGACCATGATTTAGACTCTGAACCAAATGTTCCGAGACCTCATGATCATAAGTCTGAAAAAGGAAAATCTAAGCATTTTAATGATGCTGGTGATCTTGATGGTTCAAACAATCCCGACAATCATGATTCAGGTGCTTTGGTTTCTGTTCCTGTCATTAAAGATCAAGCAGCAACAATCAGAGGAAGGCGGGCTCCTTTCAGAGGACATAAGGGTGTAGGGGTGAACCATGATGTTGATCGTAGAAAAAATGTTGGGGAGACACAGAAAATTGAAACACTTACCTCATCCTCTGAGCATGGTCAACCAGTTGTTGGTGCTGCTTTTAAAGATAGTCGAGGTTTGACATCTCAATGGCAACCCAAATCTCAAGCATCTAATAATAATCAGAGAGGAAACAGACCCAGTGATCAGAATGTTAGTTCAGTGGTTGTTGGAGCTAACCAAAAGGATTCCACTCATGATGGTGAATCTCTTCCAGCAGGCCATGGCAAGAGTTCTAACACTCATGGACCCCAACCCCACCATGATCAATCAGTCGCTGAAAAGAGCAAGGCTGGAGAAGCTGCACTGGTTGGGAATCAAGAGGCTAAAAAAGAGAGGAAAAATGCTCCAGCAAAAAGGCGTCCGCACTCCCCAAGTCAGGTAGTTGTTAGCTTGGTTGAGCAGGCTCCAACAAGTGTGGATATTTTGCATGAGCAACGCCCATCATCAGGGTTTGGGAAAAATGGAAACCAAAATCGTTCTGGAAGAGGACATGAAACTCGTGGAGATTTGAAATCACCTGCCCTAGATTACAGACATCATCATAACCAACCTTCAAACCGAGAAAGGCAGGGCTCAAACTTCCATTATGAGTATCACCCTGTTGGGTCATATGATGACAGCAAATTGGAGAACTTTGAACGACCTAAACATGGTAACCATGGTGGTGGAAGATTTAGGGAGAGAGGACAAACTCATTCACGACGAGGTGGGGGAAACTCTTATGGACGCCAGGGTAGTGTTGATTAGATGCTGTGTTAATCAGTAGTGGAGAGACTTTCTTAAGGTGGTCATCTGTGTGCTCCATCAGAAGCCATACATCCAGTAACTGTGCTGGTTTGTTCAGCTGTGTTTTCAGGTATATGAAGTCTGGGCTTCTGATACGTTTGAATTTTGAATTGTAAATGTAGCCACGTCAATTATGTTCTGATGGTCGGTATGTATTCAGCAGGGTTAGGAGCGACGAAGATGATGCCCCTGTTTTTTTGGGGGGCTGGGGGAAGAAAAGGTTTGATTGTTAGTGCCTTGTGGTTTATTGTTATTTTTCTAATGTATCTGACTGAAAAATAGTAATTTGATGGCATTTTGTTTCTTGAAGAAGTATGGAACAATTGACATGTTTCAACGATTATTACTAGGGATAACAGGGACACCAAGGAGAGATTTTATGTAATTGTTTTCCACGGTGCACTTTTCCTCGTCATTTTTGTGCTGGAATATATGCCAAATGTGCTCAAGTGTATGCTCAGTCTGAGTCAATTATTATTTGAATCAAGATAATGACCAGTCCATAGTTGATCAGAGGAGTAAGCTAATAAGTAATGTTTTTAGTTTTTCTTTGTTTTTTCGGTTTTTTCTCTTTCCTGGTGTGCGTTTGGAGGATTGGGGTTTGAAAAGTTAATGGATCTTTTGGTTCAGTATTGTTTAAACTGGACTAAGACCATTAACGGGCGATATTTTTGGTTAACAGGTCGAGGTGGATAATGTCTTAAAAAATATTTTATGTAACAATATGAATTGTATTAATATATTTATAAAATAAAAATAGTTGACATTTAAATTTTAAGTAAAATGTTTCTGTTTTGGTGTATATTTGATGGTTTTTTTATATATTTTTTTCTTTTACAAATCTCTATTTTTTTCTCTCCATTAAGGAGAGATTGTAAAATGTCAATAAATATATGGGTTTGATTTTTCATACTCATATAAAATTGAGCTAGTTTTATTAATATTTTTTCTCTTCTCCTTACAGTGAGATTTATTTATTTTTATGTGAGTGCAGTAGAAAAATAAACTTTGCAGTAAAAATAGAAATATTTTTTTTTTGTAACATCAAAATATGGTTGTTTTATTTAAAATAACATAAATTGTGTTCTTTAAAATGATAAATTCTTTTTTCGTTTGTAAAAAGTAGAAAGCATTTTTTTAAGAGAAAATTGATTGTCAATAACTTTGTGTGTTTCAAATGAAACAGAATATATAATTGTTTGTTTTTAATATTTTCTCTCATCAACAATGTTGTCTTTTTCTGTCTCTTCTTAATTTTGCGGAAAAGTCAGAATGTAAAAGTTTAATGACAAATATTTTTTTCTTTTTTAAACGAACAATTGGTTTTAATAGTTAAAGTTAATTAATTTTATTGCTTGATTCAATCGAGTTTTGTTGTATATACAGGAGAGGATTATATTTACAAATTTTTTTGTTTATAAATTATATTATGTACTTTAATTTGCAAAAATTTATAAATGAATCCTTCCCATATGTGTATATATATATATATATTGGTAATTTTGTTGTATGTATTTATTTCCATTTTTTTTAATTCATATAACTTTATGCTCTAAGATAAGATGAGGTTAATAAAATAAGTTGAATTATTACTTTGTGAAGGACTTAAAATAATATCTTAATCAGATTACTGACAATTTGTGTTATTAAATGTTGCAATATAAATTTTGTTCGTGATCTTTAATGTTATGCCAACATGAACAACAAATATTAGAATAGTCATTTATATGGTTAAATGCATAAATAAATATACACGTCAATATCAATATTATATTGCTAGTCTAGATAGGCATTATTAAACATCTTTTAGCCTCTAATCCCTCAAAATATGATATCCTACATTAGTTTGATAGCTAGAGGTATTATCTAATATCTATTGTCTGGGAATAAATCTTTGGTACTACTGTTGTACCAAAGATTCAGTACATCTCACCAATAAAAATATTACATGTTAGATAAAATTTTATTTTTTTGGTCAAATTTTTTCTCTCTCCTCTGATGTGTAATGCTCTCATTGATGAGATGCACTGAATCTAAGTACATCAATAGTACCAAAGATTTATTCCTACTCAGGAATATAAATGTATATGTCTTTAATAACTTTTGGACACGTATGTCTTCTTATGGGATCTAAACCTAATTTATGAGGAAAAATATTTTTGATGTTATTTGAGATAAAATTATCTTATCCATACAAAAAAATGGGTGAAATTCATTTTTTTCTCTCTCCTCTTAATGGATCTCACCTATTTTTTTTACGTATTATATGAGATAATTGTCTCATGTATTATGAAAAATATATTTTTCATAATGAGAATAGGTTTTTTTCAGATACAATAATGAAAATTGAACACATAATCTAATATAAACTATCCAAATTCTTCCTCACTAGACCAATCTTAATGGCTTAGATGAAGATGGTTATGACATGATATATAAAATCACGAATAAGGTGAGAATTTAAAATGACTAGTTAGAAAATATTCATTATTAATTACTAAGCATGAACTTGCTATTTTAGTTTAACCAATAATTTTGAATTTGAATGTTGGGTATCCTGTTTGACACAATTTTTTTTTAAAGCTAAAAGCTACTTTTAAGTAAAAGTTGAAAAAGAGAGAGCTTAAAACATAAAATTAAAAGTTATTTGATAATTATATAAAGTTTTTCTTAGGGTTTTGAAGGGATGAAACTGAAATGATTTATTATTAGGTAAATGATAAACTTTATAAATTAAAGTCTAGAATAATGATATAATTTTAGCCATCATTGTTCCCCCGCACTCCGGATTATCCATAGCCGGCTCAAAGAGTCGAAGCTCGTGGGGATACCGGAGGGAGCCAACTCGTCTCAAAGAGATAATTAGAGTTGGGTAACTCCAAAAAAAAATAAAACTCATCTTGGGAGATTTTAGTTTTTAATTTTTTTCTTCATTATAAAATATGCTCTTTTATAAAATTATGTTTGAGTAAAGTTTTGCTTATAAAAAAAGAGAAAGTATATATATATATATTTTTTTGTAAATAAAGAGGGGCTAAGCCCCAGAAACAGAAAGAAAATACAAATCAGAAACTAACAAGCTAGACATATTTCTAGCATCAGCAACTATAAGTTCCATCAACTGAGGAGGAGGATCTTTAAAAATCTTGAAATGGAGATTATTAGTCTGCCCAGCTTTAGCTAACCAATGAGCACATTTGTTGTTTTCCCTCTTGGTATGAACAAGATGAATAGTCCAATCTGGTTTGAACTGGATATGATTATTAAGGTCATAAAAATTTTTCCTATCAAACTTTTCAGTGACTATTTCAGAGATCTTATTCTTAGCTTCTATTTTTTTTTTATGGGGAAGGATATTGTGACAACCAAGTTGTGTTACTATCAAGTGACTACCAATCAATCTCACCGTTAGATCGATTATGTTGATCCAACGGTTATATTTATTTTCATCTTTGTATGATCATGATTCCCCATATTTAAAGTGAAAGCATTAAATATGAAAAATCATAACCATACAAAGGTGAAAATAAATATAAAGTATTAAATATGAGGAATCATGACCATACATAGATGGAAATAAATATAACCGTTGGATCAACATAATCGATCTAACGGTGAGATTGATTGATAGTCACTTGATAGTAACACAATTTGGTTGTCACAATATCCTTCCCCATAAAAAAAAATAGAAGCTAAGAATAAGATCTCTGAAATAGTCACTGAAAAGTTTGATAGGAAAAAATTTTATGACCTTAATAATCATATCCAGTTCAAACCAGATTAGACGAATAAACCATTAACCAATAGAGAAATTAAAAAAAAAACTTTAATTAAATCACATAATAAGTTCAGATAGTGTAAAACATAAAAAGACATATCCGAAATAATTGATGCAAATATGATAAAATAAAATAGTCATAATTAAATTATAATAATATAACTAATTATTGAATAAACCATCCAATGCAACTTCGTAAACAATCACAATCAAGTAAGTGCCTTACATGTTATATCATTTTTGCTTTAATTCAAATTTCTTTATATGTTTGCTTTCACACTTTAGTCGAAGAACTTCACTTCGTTAGAGAATTATTTATATTTATTGTTACTTTTAACATCATTATAATAAAACAAGACAGTATCACACTAACCAAAACATGTAATATAATATCATCTATCCCTCTGATTTATGGTGGTTAGGCGGCACATTTTAAGTAATTTTCCTTCGAACATAGTGTGCATTACTTGGTTTCCCTTGTGCATAAATACCAACAGATATAAAATCACCCAACGTATCTTTTAGGTAGTGTTTGGTTGGGGAGAAAATTTTTAATACTAGGGAAATATAAATACTAGGGATCTGGAGGAAAAGTGAGTTAGATAGGAAAGTTTTAAAAAAGTTGTTTGGTTGGACAAAATTTTACCAGGAAAATTGAATGAAATTCCTGAATATGTGTTTGGTAGAAGATAAAATATTGATGGAAAAATAATCCTTTTGTACCACAAACCAAAATTTAGCCGGTTTTCTAATAGAAATACCACCTCTTGAGATGCTTTCTGGAACAGTGTTTTTATTGGTTTTTACATGTAATTGTCAATTGATAGGGAAGTGAATTAGATGGGTAAAATTGATGAATCGGTGAACCAAATGCGGGAAATGCAAAATTCCTTTTGCACTTAGTTAGGAAAGTGGAGAAAAGTCTCGAAACAAACACCCCCTGTCTAATAATTAATTATCAAATTGATGTTATTATAAATTATTTTAAAAAATTAACCTCTTTAAAAAATATAACATCAATCTACTCCTGTTTGACCGTTGACCATCAGGCCTACTCGGGTAATTCCCTCTCTACCTAGATATTTTTTAAAATTTTTTCTCAACCCGAATAATCAAATAGATGCTCTGGTATATTTTAAAATTCCAAAAAAATGTCTGAATTATTTATCCAGCAGTACAGAGGGAGCTAAATGTTCGTACAAGCTTGTCACTGACGAACTCACTGGCCTTCTTCTCCTCACTCCATTCCCTCACCGCGAGAACGTTGAAATTCTCAAGCTTCCAACACGCCGTGGCACTGAGATTGTGGCACTCTACATTCGGCACCCAATGGCCACTTCCACAGTGCTTTACTCTCATGGAAACGCTGCTGATCTAGGCCAGATGTATGAGCTCTTCATCGAGCTCAGCATCCACTTGCGCGTTAACCTCATGGGGTGCTCTGTTTTTTCACTAAACTCTTTTTTTTTTCTCAAACACTGCTTTTTTCATTTTTTTGGTCTGCAATTTGGAATTTTGATTCTTTGTTCTCGTTTATTTGAAACAAGATATTTCATTTCCGTAGTTTCAATTTAATTTATTAACTGATTAAACAATTAATAAACAAAATTTGCTTTTCCTAATGGTCACACCAGGAAGAAAAAGTGTAGCGTCTGTGAATTCCTCTCGGAAAAAATTGCCCTTTTTTAATGAATTATATCACGAAAGTTACAAACCCTGCCTCCGGTGAAACATCACCACCACGACTTTAATTTACTTTAGCTATTTCTACTTCGCTTCTTGCTACCGCATCTGGCCAAGTCCATTGTTGTCTATAGTTTTTGTATTTCGAAGTTTTTGTACCCCTCCGTTCACGTTGAAATAAAAGCAGAACTCTATAGTATAACCCCCAACAAACCGGACCTAACGCTAACTTTAAAAATCCAAAGCATCGATGGAGAAGGAAAAGCTACGATTATTTATTCGGGCAGCTGCTTTTCCCCGCTTTTCCCGATCCGGGTAAATAATTCGAACAATTTTTCAGAATTTTGAAATATATCCGGATATCCCCTTTATTATTTGGGTAGGGAAAAAAACGGGTAGGCTTGATGGTCAACAGTCAAACAGATTAGTGTTATGTTTTCTGGAGAGGTTAAATTTTTAAAATAATTTATAATCAAAATCAATTTGATAATTAATTATTTAATAAGGGCTACAATGGTCAAAACGTCTTAAAATGAATACCCAAACTTTTTTTTTTTTTTTTTTTTTGTATATCTGAATACCCAAACTTTTAAACACTAAACTTAATCACAGCATCACAAGGGAAATTTCTAAAACTCATCAAATTCGAATGTTTATAATTATCAAAATGATTTACTCATTCCTTTTAAGACTCCTTACTATTGCACAAGAGTCATATTTTCTACAATGGACTTTGTAAAGGTTCGTAGAATTGTTTTTAAGTCAAGGTATTAACGGTTTGTTTGGTGCACCTAATAAAGAGGAAAAGATAAAATAAATTATCATATCATGCTCTTATTGGTTGTTTGTTGTTAACAAGGAATAGGAAAAATTTATCAGATTAGCTTATAATATCCTACCAAGAGTGAGAAAACTTATCTTAGAGGAGACCTCGGGTTACCATTCAACATGATAGGATAGGAAAAAATAAAAAATTCAAGACCAAAAGAGTAAAAGAATTACCAGAGATAGGGATAGGGGTGTCAAGTGATGTGGGTGGTATTTTGTATGTTAAATTGTAAGTTATTGTTGGCTATAGATAGCAAAACTTTTGATATAGTTTGAATGAAAACAAATCAACGAAGTTTGACTCATAAAAGGATGCTCTAAAATTATGCTTAGGGGATATTTCTTAAGCAAAACTTTTGATATAGTTTGAATGAAAATAAAGGGAATTATTTATCTTATGTAATAGAAGACAAGCTTTCTTATATTGAGAAACAAATAAAATGATGCCCAGTAATTTTTTTTAAAATAAAAAAAATAAAAAAAGCATATTTTTCGATATGAATATGATACGAGAGAATAATCTCATGTAACATCAGAATATGATTTCCCGAAAACAAATCAATGAACTTTTATATCCGTGTTGATAAATAATTGATTTTACTTTTGCATACCGACAAAGTTTTGTTTGTTTCCATTTTTTATATTTTTAAATGAGGAAGGATATTGTAACAACTAAGTTGTGTTACTACCAATCAATCTCACCGTTAGATTGCTTATGTTGATCAAACGGTTATATTTATTTCCATCTTTGTATGGTCATGATTTTCTAAATTTAATACTTTATATTTATTTTCACCTTTGTATGATTATTATTTCTCATAATTAATGAAAAAGTATTAAATATGGGAAATCATAACCATACAAAGATGGAAATAAATATAACCGTTGAATCAATATAAACAATCTAACAGTGAGATTGATTAGTAATAACATGGTAATAACACAACTTAATTGTTATAATATCTTTCTCTTTTTAAATATGAGAAGAAACATGGTCTGGGCAATAGGATCTTGTTTCGTTCGGGGATAGTTGGGATCAAGGCATAAACATGGACTATGTTAAAAGTGTATAAATTCACTAGAGAAAAGTGTATAAATATGATAGAAAAAAAAAAAGCGGTGTGCACAAGTCCCGAGAACAAATTCACCGCTGGTCCTATGAAAAAATTACCATTCAAAATTTTAAAGTGTGATTAGATTACTTGTATGAAATATTTACGATGCAAAAGCGAAAAAAATTTTTGGTATCTCGGTGAAATTTCAAATATAGCCCTTTTTTTTAGTAGGAACAAATATGGCTTTTAGCTCCTTTTTTGGGGTGAAGCTTTTACTATTTAAGTAATGAAATGAGTATTATTATTATTTTTTTAGAGTATTGTTATTATTTTTTAGGAAATTGTTACTACTAATGCAATGAGCTGATAGTAACGTTAGTAATAATATTAATTGAGAATAATAATATCTTATCTCATATGTCATGTATAATTAATTATCTTTTATTTTTAGTTAAAATAAACTTGACATCTTATGAATTTAGAGAATATGAAAAGATAACCATATCGTCTTGTTCCGTTGTTCGTCCGTCGTCTGTGTTGCTGTTGTTCGATTAGGGTTCGCAGAGTTCCAATTTCCTTTCATTTCTTCGCTGCACGCTCACTACGGTCCCATACCTAGCTTGCTCCAAATTAATGCGTTATTTCGATCCATAATTCTCTACATCCAACCCTACAATACAACATCGCATTTCCTCTGTTAGTTACTTGCCAAATCGGAAGCAGTTTTGGATACGGTACGGTATTCATGTTCCTTTGGTTGTCATAATTGGCTATTGTGCAGAGAGGAATTCTTCATTTTATTCTTCTTATTAGCACTTGTCTTGAATTGCACACGCTACTTCTTGTTGGAGATGCACCTGAGTTGGTGTTGTTGACATTTCTTTTTCTTTTTTTTGCTTTCTAAAATTCAGTTTGAAATTTTGAGACAATGAGTGCGTTGGATGAAGGCATTCAACTCCCGAAGTTGAAGTTTTCATGTGTTTAACTGTCCAAATTTTGTCACATATGGCTTCTAAGTTACTTCTTGTTGTGGTTTTTATGTTACTCATCTCATTAACTCCGTTGTTCTGGTGCTTGTTGAATAGTTCTTGTCGAGTGGATAATTTGGCGGTTAAAGACAAAAAATGGCTTTTGTTGCCCATCAACCGCAGGTACTTATATAGAAAATTTACCTCTTATTTGGAGAATCCCTTATTGGATTGCATTTACATCCAATTTTATCTTATCATTATCATCAAGTTTTTTCCCTGATATGTATAAAATTGGGCTTAATAGTAATATTGTCAACAGGAGTAGTTTATCATTGTCATTGGGTGCTGGAAATTATATGCATCATTACTTGCCAATTAAATGTTTCAGATAAATTTCATTAGAATTTTAGTTTCAGTGTGATTGGTATATCCAGTAGAGTAGTAATCTTGTCCCAGTGATGTTTCCTGGTGACAATGATTGAACTGTCACATGAAATTTAGTTATTGGAGCATCAAAGTTGTCAACATTTATTGAATATTCTGAAGATTGAATTTTATTTGAGAGCCAAAGCTATACAGATCTCTTTCTCCATATTTGGCAAAGTCCTCTGATATTATGTTTAATAAGCTTTCGTTTATTTTTATCGGGTGTTCTGTATGTGCAATCAGGACTTTCCATGTTCAAATTTCAAATGTAAGTGTATATTGTGAACTTAATAGATGATTTGTTTTCTTTTCTCCAGGGCTTGTATGTGACATTTTCCTCAAGGCATTTGACATGGAGCAAAAGGCTGAAATTGAAGCAGTGTTTAACAAAACGTCACTTGATTGGAAGAGCTGATTGGAATTACATACTAAAGCACACTATTTCTTTAAGGTGGAGATATTTTTTTGTCGCTGTGGTGGAAATTAAATACGGTCTGTTATATCTGGGATTTTGGAATTTGGATCACCATTTTCAATAACTTTAACATGTGTAGAACAAGTTAACATGATGGAAGTGTCTAATAATATCTAAGGTGGATCTTTGATAAGATTTAGCAGAATCAAATTGAATTGCAACTCTAAGGGGTCTCTTTGAAATAAGACTAAAAGACCTTACAAGTCTTAATTAATCATTTATATTTATATTATCTTTAAAGTAATAAATTTGCAATCCAATGTTCTCTGTTTGTAAAATTGGAGGTTCATATTATGCAAGGAAAATACTATATGGGGAGAGAAAACCAAAGTTGTGTATGTTAATATTTCTTGTCACAATGTTTTGTTGGAGTGCTTACATATCTTATCTTCTTATTTGGATTACCAAGTTCTTGACATTAAATTTGTTTTTAATGTTTTTAGATTTCAATTATAATTTTCAGTTATATGTCATAGGACTGTTTTACATACCAAAACTTGCATGAAAATGCAGATGATCCTTTATTTCTGCTTCATGTAAAGGATTGTTTTATTTCCAGTGTAGGGCCTCCTTGTATTTGTGGATCCAAGGTTAAACCTTTATGGATAGCAGGCTTCAAAGGCAATGCCCAAAATGATGATTCAGTAACGGGAGCTAATGGATTGAAGGTCCCCAGGACCTCTGTTAGACTGGAAGAGAGTGGGAAAATCAAATCGGAATCTTCAATGGCCCACAATGTTCCTCTCTCTTATGCCTCTGAAGCAAATGAGAGCCATGCAACATCCCATGGTATTCATAAACTTTTCAAAAAATGGCTGACATTGTTGTGCACACCACCTTCAAATCATGGAGTGCAGGAAATTTCGGGAGAACCGCCTCCACGGGTTTTACCAGAAACTCTACAAGGGATACAAAGGACTGACAAAGGTCGGACTTTGAAGGTGGCATGGTCCCAATTTCTAGCCCTGGATGCAACAATAAAGATCCCTTTCTTAATATTGTAAGTATGAGGGTTTTTCTGTCTTTGCATTTAATACTATCTGCCTCTCTCTGCATCACTTATGTGCTGTATACTTGAGATTTTTGAAAGGAGGATTGTTTGCATTCCTTAATGTAGCATATGCATGTTTTGTCATTGAGTTCTTCAAGTTAATTTGCTTTCTGCTAGTCACATAATTAATTTCATCAGGTTTCAACTTGGATTTCTTGGTTGAAGCAAATTTTAGGTTATCAGAATTTACGGAGAAAGTTAAAAAGAAAAGGAGGGAGGGGAGATGACTTGCATAGTCAATATAATATACCAATATATTTGTCTTTTTCGGTAATTTCATCTTTAACGTTATTAAGCCAATGTATACGTTTTATAAGAATTGTGATATTTTATGTTAAACAAATTAAATATTTCATTATTCATGCTTAAAAAAAATTTCTTTGTTCCTTTTAGGGTCTGGGCCAATAGTTTTTTCTTGATGGGAATCCTCTGTAACTGTCGGAGACTATCTTGGTTGATCCTTTATATATCAATATGTTTGAAATATTTATTGGACATAGTGTCACTGATAAAACAAAAAATATGGGCTAGTTTGGATGAGCTTTTGAAAAAAGACCTTTCTTATGACATTTTTTAAAAAAAATGCTATTTTATTTTATGTTTGCTTTTTTTTTTTTATATAAAAAAATAATAATGTTTTAACTGCAATGTTATGTTGTAAAAACATCATTTTTTTAGAGGCACAAAACTCTATTAGAAGTGTTGAGATATATAAAACCATTAAAAAGCCCTTATCCATTAGCTTAAGCTTTTGGGTTGAATTGGTTCTTTACATGGTATCAGAGCTTCGTGTCCCGGGTTCGATCCTCATCGCCTCCCACTTTCTTTCTAGTGGAATTTCTTTCTTAGCACAGGTAGGTGGGCTTGTGCATTGTCCACACTTCAAGCCCAATGGGCTCTCTTGTGAAGGGGCGTGTTGAGATATATAAAACCATTAAAAAGCCCTCATCCATTAGCTTAAGCTTTTGGGTTGAATTGGTTCTTTACAAGAAGTATTGAAAATAGGGTGATAAGAAGTCTCTTATTGCTATATTAATCTTATGTAATTGTTATAGTCACTCTATATAATAGAGCTTCTATTGTGCTATTGATACACACAGATTTAAACATCGCCTCTCTTTTCTCTGTTATTAAAGATGGTATAAGAGCGGTACCATCCTCCGTGACCTGTCCTGTTGCCTTTTTGCTATTGAGTTCCCTAAAATTTAGAACTCTTTGTTAATTACCTTTTCGGCGACCTTCTCTCATCAATTTCTATAGTTGCATCTCAAGCAATTGTCATCTCTTTGTCGTGACGTCCCTTCGTCTACGATGACCTCTTCTGCAAGTTTTTCCCTGCGATCCTCCCATTTTTCATATTGCTATCTCAAGGTTGTCCATTTTGTTTAGGACCCACAGGCAATGTCCTAACTACATGCCTGCATGCGCTGTCAAAGCACTTTTCCAGCACTTAAGCCACCATCGGACAAGCTTTTTCAACAGCAACACCACAGAAGAACATGCCTTGACCCCCTCTACCTTGATCCGGAGTTTTTATCAGGTTGTGGGTTGACCGTTTTGGGCTTTTTCCTGATTGTACAACAACTTTTCCGACGATGGGGAAACTTCTGTGGCAAGATTTTTGGCCAATGACCAGCAGATCTGGATCGTGTTGATGAGACAAGTCCATCCGTTCAAGACCCAAGTCCAGAAGCCTTTTTCCTTCTTTGTCATGCGCATTTTATTCTAGTTCCTATGCCCTTCTAAAGGATGTTCAGAAGCCCAAGGTTCCCATTTTCAGCAATTATGTCAATGCTCCACTTTGTAAAGAGAATATGATAAGAACCTTGGGATGCACCACCCCAAAAGCTCAAAGGGTAGGAGTGTCCAAAGCCTTATAAACCCCACATTAGTTGCCCATACAACCAATGTGTTATGTGGGACTCCAAGTCCCATTCCTTGAAAATGGGTCCTAATGGAATATTAGATGCCCACGCTCTTGTCCCATCAGATCCGGCCCTTCATGTCATTGTTTGTCTATTTTTCAATGCTAGCATAGCATTGAGAGGGAGAAATTTGAGAGTAGGGATGTAAATAGGTCACGCAACCTATTAGAGACCAACGACTCAGCCTACTTCAAGTCAGACTGGACTTGATATATTTAGTACAATAGAGCAGACTCGGGCCTTAAAAAAACCTATTTAGAAAGAGGACATAGGTCTTTTTTTACAAGGTCTGGCCCACGTGCTCGTTTGGATGGGCTTTAGAAAAAAAACTTTTTATGACTTATTTTTTTGGAGGATTTTTTTAAAATTTAAAGCTATTTTATGTTTCCATTGAATATATAAAAAGTATTTTTAAGTGAAAGTTATTTGGATGTTAAAATTAATAAGAACTTTTTATATATAAAATTACTAAAAATGATGTGATTGTGGTGGTGGTGGTGGAGTAGGAGTTGGTAAAATTGAATTTCTAAAAAAAAATTAGCTTTTGGCTTCTGTTTTTTTAAGAAATAAGGGATCCTTACTTAAAAAAAAAGCACCATTTTTATTTTTATTTTTAATTTTACTTTTTTAAAAAAGTTGCATCCAAATGTAAATATTAAATAAAAAGCACATTTATTTTGAAAAAAGTTTCTTCTTGGCGGGAAAAAGCTCATCTGAATGCACTATATGTCATATTATTTATTTCAAAAAAAATAATTACTATTTAAATAATAAATTAATGTTATTTTAGTTTTTTTTAATAATTCTTGATAGGTCCTGAAAGCCTAATATACTAACAGGTTTAGGCTAGCTTTTTGATTTTTAAATATAGGTCAGACCAAACCTATAATTTAACTTGCACTAGGCTAATAGGTCAGGCTAGAGTTAAAATATTTTACAGAAACCTGACTTATTTAAGTAAAAGCCTAGCCTAGCCCAATCTATTTAAATTGTTATTTGAGAGTTGCACTCTAGCCCTGTTGAATTGAAGATGTTGCCTGACCTAATCGGTCTTCCATCGTTGGACTTTGTCCTAGATGCACTTTGGATGGGTCTCCTATGTTTCCCTGTGGTTAAAAGCTTCCAAATGTTGTCCTTGATAAGCTTCGAGAAGTTTTAGTTCTTGTTGTGTAAACTTGTTTGCCAGGACTTTTCCGTTGAAGGTCATTTCAGCGTAGTCCCTCCTTCCTTGATAACGCATTCCAGCCATCTTACTCTGTTGTCTTTCCATCAATTTTTGTCCCTTTGACATCTCCAGCATCCTGGAGTTGACTTTGCAATCAGTTTTTGTGGAGCCCAAATATATTTGGTTAATTATCATTTAAAAGGGGTCATTTGTAACTAGCTTAAAGCTTTAGCTTGAGAGAGAGAGTGCTAGAAGTATCGAAAATAAAGTGATAAAAAGTGGTACATTGTTATATTAGTCTTATGTAATTGTTATAGTCACTCTATACAATAAAGTCTTATTGCCTCTCTTTTATATGTTATTCAACACTCTAGCTTAAAAAAAGGTGTGCTCTTTTAGCTTTTTTAAAGAAATGTTTATCAAACCACTCTAAAATATAACAAAAATATTTGTTTTTCAAAGAGAGGACTTTTAATTTTTTAATTTTTATACAAGAAACGTACATCCAAATAAGCACCAGCATTTTCTTCCTTAATATACTACAGTGTATGTAACTGCTCTTGAAGTACGGTAGAGCGTATCTTTCTTTCTAAATAATGTCAACAGCATACATTGCACAGTAATGTTTTATGTTTTTTTGCATCTTCTAATTCCATATTTGTTTGCAGTGCTCCTTTCTTCCTGGCTGTTAATGTAATTTATGGTGCTGAAGTGTCGAAGGATTTAACTCCTTTATGGGTTTTGGGGCCAATAGTTGTGGCTCTCTACATCATGATAGTTCGGAAGCTGTGTGCACTCTATGTCTTCAGCTTCAAGCAGACTGTCAAAATACTTAAGAATTTACCCTCTTACTGCATTTTGGCCTACAGCTATATTTTTTGTGGCAAGCTCAAAGAAGATATCAAAGCTCATATTTTGCAGCCTATTTGGAACATAAAAAATACAGATTATAAAGAGCTGACTAGAAAAAAGTTGAAAGAATTGGCAAATTGGATAGTAGAGAAGTATCTTGATTTTGTGGAATCAATATGGCCCTATTATTGTCGGACAATCAGATTTTTGAAGAGGGCTAATCTTATTTAAATTTGAGAATAATTTTGACGGTAGTCTTCGGGAGGGTTAAGAGAGCGAAAAAATTGGGGAGTTTTGAAATGAGAGTTGGCCAATCCCATTTTGTGCTGAGGTCTTGGTGTTTTTAGCGATTTAATGGTTACGAGGAAGGAAGTTCCTGGTTCCTGTTATCTTGAAACGTTATTTTCTTAGGTTAGGTTATAACTGTATCGCTTTGTAAGTATGGGGTTGTATATTAGATTGATTCGATATGTTATTGGTCATTTGGCATGGGTTCTTTCCAACCCCAATTCTTCAACCCCCTTACCCCCTTCTTGTTTTCTTGCTTAAGAGTTGTGTATTATGTAGCATCCTTTGCAGAGGTGGCAGAGTATTGCACTTCACTCCATGCGTTGACAGCGTTGTTAAACACTGAACTGGTCGAAAGATGGCTGAAACATTTCTATGTCGTGCGGCTTCTGTATCTCATTGGCTGTAGAATCTAGAATCTGGAAAAGAGTAGGGCTTGTAGAATGATCTAACATATTAAAGGAAGATGGCCGAGACAGAGAACAATTTTGTTCCTCTTTTGTTGTTTTCGTCTTATTTTATTATTTAAAAATGGAAACAGGATTAGGGAATTTAAATGCCCTACCTTGACCAACTATATATTGGAAGGCAAATTGGATGACGATTAAGAAAACTGGGGGTACATTCGGTTATACTATAATGTAGCAGCCATTTACATTCCTGTAATCTTGTTACTTGTGGCAACTAAATATTCTTCAACTTAAATCATCCTTTATATCAATAGTGCTTAAATAACAAGCTGGCGGTTTACATAGCAAACTCTGGCAAGTGAATTGTTGGGATGAAATTGTCATGGATTTTTTCTCTCCAATTTTAATTCAAGTAAATGATCCAAGCTTTAATAATTCATAATCTACAAAAGCTTAAACTTAGTAGGTTCAAAGAAAAATTTGAATAATATATAATATATATTAAAAATTGTTATCACAATTTAAATTTGCAACTTTTTGAATTAGTAACCAAAAAATGATGTATCTATCAATGTGTATATAATGTATGGGTTTTATTTTATTTTTTTATGTCATATAAGATAAATCTTCTCTTCTACTCTCAGAACAAATAGTGGGATCTACTTTATTTTTTAAAAAAAAGTAAAGAGAAAAAGATAGAACACGAAAATCGAAGTGAGAGTAGAAGATAAAATCTCTCTTATATGTGACATAATGTATTTGATAAAAGCTGGTCACTTACTCAAATAACTATAATCCTTTTGCGACATAAAATTTAGGGGAAAATAATTTTCTTATATTGTAGGAAAAAGAAATGGCACTCATCCATATTTTGTGTGTCTAAGAAATTTAGCTATCTGATACAAAATGAGATAAATATAACCTTTTATTATATTAAAACTGAATTGGGAGAAAGAGAGGAGAAAGTGCCTGCTGGATGAAAATGGGAAAATAAAAGGGTGCGTCCGCGCGAAGAAGACAAAGAAATGAGGTGGCATTAATGCCTCAGCATAAAACAAACCAAATTGATAGCCACGCCATAACGTAATAGCAAAAAGCCTCCCTCGCTCTCCAAAAATTCAAGATAGTTTTGAGTCTGAGTCAGACTCAGAGTTAATTAGTTACTACTTAGTAGCTGTTGTTGGTTACTTCGCATAATGGCCACCAAGATTGGTAGCTCGTTTTCTTGTTTAGCGTCTTCTCTTCATTTCCAACACATAATAAAAGTGATGAGGCGTAATATCCTTCGATTATTGACTAAGGAAAGCTACTTACTTATTTTGAATTCTAATCATATATGTATATTATAGAGAAGATTTAAAACGTTAAGTCTTATTAAAATTGATTTTATTCTAGAATATTGATAAACCTTTAGTTTATCTTGTTTTATAGACTAAATTAATATAAATTATCAAATTGAATAAGTCAAAAACTAGGGTTTTAATACAAATATCATGAACATTATCTGATTATGAATTAATTAAATACTATTTGCTATTTTTAAGGGATTTGATGACAAATGGAGTCAAAGATGAAGATATGGATAGATGGAGAGCAAAACAAAAAGATTTAAAGATCTTATCAAGATTCTCAAGTTGTTAGAGAGGGGGCTTAAGCCCCCAATTCGAAGCTAAAGCCTCCAAAAATCAGCAAATGGCCTTTGCCTAAGCAAGCTTAAGCCCCAATTAGCAAGCTAAAGCCTCCTGTATAAGCAAATATGTTCGGCCTTAGCAAGCTTAAGCTCGCTCCAGCAGGCTTAAGCGCGAGCCAAGGAGGAATTTCAGACGTGAAGAGTGCGTTTAAGCGCGCTCCAGCAGGCTTAAGCGCGCTACGTGAAATTTTCATGCAATCTTCAGCAGGCTTAAGCTCGCTCCAGCAGGCTTAAGCTCGCTCCAGCAAGCTTAAGCGCGAACGTTACTCCTGCATTCGTAAATTAGGAAGCTTAAGCGCGAATGAGCAAGCTTAAGCGCCCCGAATGATCCAACTTAAGCCCACTTGAAGAATCCACTTAGGGCACAAATTCTTTTCCCTTAAAAACACATTTGGGGTTCAGAATCAAGAGTTTTTACACATTCAAGAAGAGTTCTTGGTACTTGGGAGCATAGGGAACGCAGAGAAACATCAGGTTCATGTTCGTGAGCGGCGAAGACGGATCAACATCAAGTCTGCACTGGGGATATTGAAGATTCACCAATCATCTATGGAGTTTGGGGGAGCTTTTATATTGTCTTTCATTCTTGATATTGTTATGTCTGGCTAGTTCTTTAAGTAGTTAGGGTTAGATGGAATTTAATCGATTTATTATGCGTTGAACAATTCGTATGTTAATTTTCCTTTATATCATGAATGAAATTATCTGTTTTTAATGCTTTATATAGGCTTGAATCTTATATAATGATCATAGGTAAATGCATGACAATAGGAATGTTGGTGTGTGATCCTTATCTGATAATTTCATCGTACGCTTTATGATTCTAGGGATAGACATAGAGTTTGCGTAATCTTTAAGATTCTTGAACTTAATGCTTGCATTCTTGGGATAATCGAGGAACTAGGTTCTTCCAAGATCGCGAATGTTTAGGGTAACAAGGGATTGAGCCCTAATTACATGCGAAAGAATTGATTAGATTGATACTAAGGACGATTAACATTAAGAAGGAATTCAACCGTAATAAAGAGATTAAAGGAAATCGAACCCCTAGCTACGTTCTTTTAAATTAGTTAATTCAAATTTTTAAATTCTTGCGAGTAATTAGTTTTAATATTTTAAATTTCAAATTCAAATCCTGTTTCAAATACAATTTCGATTGTCCAACTTAAGTTGCAATAGTGAATTAGTGCTTGAGTATAATCCTCGTGGGAACGATCTCTTATTTAATCATTATATTACTTGTACAATCGGTGCACTTGACGTGAGTCCCAACAAATATTCAAGTACAAATAATTAAATAAACATAGGGTATTTATAACAACCAAGATAATTAAAGTACATTAATTATAAATTAATGTGCAATTAAATGAAAAATCTCAACTTTTGCAGTTAAGTCTTAATTAGGAGCAAAATCATAATTAAGTAAAATTACCCCAGACGACTTAGAATTTATTATGTGTGGTACACTACATGAGAAATTAAGAGCCCTAGAATTATTAAGTCATTTAGTTTGGAGGGTTAAATGAATGGGTGGGAGAAAAGGAATTAAAGAAGGGCAAAATGGTAACTACCCATTTTAGATATTTTACAAAAAAAGGAACACAAACACTCTTCCTCCTATACTCCTCTTTTCTTGTCTATCGACAACTCCTCCTCCCCCTCTTCATCAAATTTTTGTTGCCCTTCATTGCTAAGAGAGAAAACTTTGGTTTCATCCTTACAACCCACTAAGCTCTCCACTTTGAGTGAAAACCATACTTTGCCTTAAACCAATGAGCTCTTTTTTTTTGGTAAACTAAAGGGGGGAGACCTCCACACTAAGACAAAAGAATACGACGAGTTTTACAAATATAAAATCAGCAAAGAGTAAAAGTCGAAGGCTAGAAGGGGGAGAAGAGAACATTTGCAAATCTTCTTCGGACTGACGATCCAAAGGCAGATTAGCAAGCCAGTCAGCACAACAATTACCTTCGCGATACAATTGTGAGAAACGGACAACCCAATCCCTATCCAACTATGCTCGTATCCAAGTCACTAAGCAAGGCTCGCGAGCTGCGTCACCACCTTTGGTGAGCAAAATGATTGAATTTCTTGAATCACTTTCTATGATTATTTGTCTGCATCCAGTAGACCAAGCTAGTTCTACTCCTTTTAAAATTCCCAGAGTTCTGCAATAAGAGCTAAGCAGAAACCTATTTTATATGCAAATCCTTGAATCCACTTACCGGAAGCATCCCTAAGAAGGCACCCACACGTAGCAAGACCTGGATTTCCTCTTGAAGCACCATCTGTGTTGAGTTTGATCCACCCCTCTTCTGGAGGATACCAACTGTAAGAACCCGCACCGTTAATTAAGGTATTTAATTAATAAATTACGAGAAAATAGGAAATGATTCCATAATTGACCATAATAATTATTTATGAGGCTTAATAATCGTAATAAGTGATTAAGAATGGTGAAAGTCTCTTTTCGGAAGAAAAGTGCAGATAACCGGTTCTGCTAGTCGGTATAAATGTGTGCCGAAAAAGTATCCCGAAAAATTAATGTAAGTGCATGATAATTACTAGAATAATATGTAGGACTTGTAAAACTAGTTTCAAGTCCAGATAATGAGAACTGGTGCTGGAAACCGGTACTGGCTGGTAAAAGCGCGTACCGGAAAAGTGCTCAGAAAATTATAAGAAAAATATGATAAATCTTATAAAATTATGTAGTTTCATAATCCAAAGTTTGGGATTAAAATTCTAAGCGTAGAAATTAAAGTTAATACTGTGTGTTTAAGTGGCTGAGGCTATAAATACCCATTGTTAAGGGCACATAACCCTAGAAAATGGAAAACCAACGTGAGAGGGAGCTGATCAGCTGCTTGGTGACTGCCCTATTGGCCTTTCCTTCCATTCTTGAACCAAGTCTTGATCTTTCTTGATTTTCCTTCATCCTTTCACTTGGGAAACACTTGGGAAACATCTTGAGAGGGTGTGAGGGTGCTGTGCTTGAGGTTTGGCCATTGTTTGTGGGCTGTTTGTGCTCTGAGTTGGGGTTTGGGTGGAGTACCTCCTTGCTCATTGGGTTTTGAGGCTTAAAGGAGCTTTCTTGTTGAGTAAAAGGACCACATTGGTATACCATTTTCGTGTGCAGAGAGAGACAGAATCTTGGAGTGACCTTTTGACCTCCAAGAGCACCTCTTGTTGGCTGGTTGAGTTTTGGTAAGCCTTGTCACCTTTGGTCTTGAGTTTTTGAACTTAAAAATGAAAGCTTGATGCATGTTAAGGCCTAAAGATGATAACTTGTTGTGGGTTAATGTTGAACACACCTAGAAATGCATGTTTAGGTGCTTTAAATCGTTAAAAACCCAACCTTGGAAGGATATCTTCACGAAATGCATTTTCTGCATTCTGTCGTGAAATATCCGGATATGTTCCCGATGAATATCCGAATATGTGATATCCGGATATGGGTTTTGAGTATCCGGATACTAGATATCCTG